AGTTCCTGAGTTCCGGCTCCGTGTCGGGCTCTGTGCTGACAGCTCAGAGCCTGGATCCTGCTTCAGATTCTGTGTCTCCCTCTCTCTTTGCTCTTGTCCCACTTGTGCGCTCTCTCTCAAAAATGAACATTAAAAAAATTTTTTTAATAAAAAAAAACCAACAGTGATATCACCTTTCACATGAAAGGAAAAAGGAGAGGCAAAGAAATTTTTTTCTAGTAAATTTGGTAATTTCCACAATAAAAACTTTTTTAAAAGACTATGCTACTATTTTGGAAAGCCAGAAAGAATTAAATAAAATTAATTTCAAAGAGCCAGCTGAGATATATAATTCTTTTTTTTTTTTTTTAACGTTTATTTATTTTTGAGACAGAGAGAGACAGAGCATGAATGGGGGAGGGTCAGAGAGAGAGGGAGACACAGAATCTGAAACAGGCTCCAGGCTCTGAGCTGTCAGCACAGAGCCCGATGCAGGGCTTGAACTCATGGACCGCGAGATCATGGCCTGAGCCGAAGTCGGCTGCTTAACCGAGTGAGCCACCCAGGCGCCCCTGAGATATATAATTCTTGATAAAAAATGAAGTTTTATCATTGTGTAAATAGCCTTAGTTTTGAAGTTTTAACTAATGTATTTTTTACTTTAAACACTTATTTAGAAGAAATGTGCAATAGAAGAGGTGGAATAACTTGATTTGTTTTGGTTTTCTTACAGCCAAAAATCTTAACCAAATGAATTATATGGCCTACAAGTTTGGTAGCCTAACTTTCTCCGAAGGGAGATATCGGACAAGTACTTAATTATATAATTAGGTAAAAACAGCCAACACTTATACTACCTGATTACATGCTAGGCACTGTGGTGAGTACTTCACACATGTAAGCTCATGTGATCCTCCTCTCAACTCTAGGATACAGGTAGTTTTCCTGCCCATTTTCAAGATGGAAAGTGAGGAACACAGTAACCTGCTCACCTTCCACAGCTGTGAAGGAGCAGGGCCAATATTCCAACCCTGGCAAGTTTCACTTCAATCTGTAGTCTCACCCACCATGCCAGAGCGCTTTAATTATATTATTTCGTTAAGAATAGAATTAAAAATAGCCAACATTCCCCTTCTGACACATCCTAAAAATCTGCATCATTTTTCAAATGAATTTCACAATGCCCATTCCATATGGCTCAGAACAATTTGTCCTTCAGAAATTATTAATACCATGACAAAGCAGGAAAAAGCAAAAACATTTCAATTCAAATTTTTTGGGAGATGTTTAAAACTAAGAAACAACCTCTTAATCACTTAAAATATATCCATTAAAATTTAGCACAGAGGACTTCAGATAATGCAGTTACGAATTATTGAAATTTCATGTGGCACAACTCCTTACATTAACAAATGAGAGAAGTTAGGCCCAGAATATACTCCAGATGGATGTGCAAAGCACAGGCCAAGAGGGAATAACACTGCAAATGTACAGCTGGTATGTTTTAGTTGGTATTTCTGCTGGACGTAGGGATAATCACTGTGCAATCCTTAACGTAAGAATTATGGATTCCCTCGCTTCCAAAACATTTACACTGTATGCATTCAGAGAAAAGAAAATACATAATTTATTGAAGTTAGGACCATGGAAAAGCTTAGTCTCTTAGAGGAGAAATATAGATACACACACACACACACACACACACTCCGAGAGAGAAAGAGAAAGAGAGAGAGAGAGAGAGAGAGAGAGAGAGAGAAATCTACAAAGATACCATCAAAATGAGAAGGCAATTTCCTTTCAAATTTCTTTCCCTCCTATATTGCCAGTCATTTTTTCCTCAGGTAGAATTAAGGCCCAGGGTTGACTTTTTTTTTTTTTTTTTTTTAATATCTTCTAGTTCTGGGGAAGAAATTATCACCCAGGCAAAAGATGAGGCTAGGATTACCTAAGACAAATGAAGTTTCTCAGTAAAATTATATATTGCTGCTACATCAGTTTGGTAAGGGCATAAATGCATTAAAAATTCGCAAGAACATTTTTGTACACAACATGTCCAGTGTTACTTAAAATCTTTGCAGCTGAGAGAATCCTTTGAAAGTAGTGGGAGTGAGGACTGAGAAAACACATAGCAGCAGACCAGGCCTCAGGCATCCAGGGTCTCTATAAGCCACAGATTCCTATAATTACCCGTTCAGAGCCCAATGCTTCTTTTCCAACTGTGGCTCACATTCTCACCCTTTAACACTATACTAAGAAAGAAAATAAATATGAAATTAAAACCAGAGTTTTGCCATATTTTGTTGGCCGCGCCAACATCTTGATTTTAGACTTCTGGTACGTAGAACCCTATGAGAAACGTAATTACTATTATACGTTGACTTCTATTGTTGTAAGTCACCCACACTGTGGTACTTTGTTATAGTGGCCCTGGGAAATATATACAGTCCTTAATGATATGATCTGGTACCTCCCTTGTCTGATCATCTGATAAGTGAAAACCTCAGTACTACAGCATAGGATACCTTCCAATTTATAGTTACTATATGTTTTAAATACCACCATTATCTTCACCTTCAATAGACAATCATCACAGTATTTTCTCTGCTCTTAGTCTTTCTCACTTCTTTGTGTTATTTAACTTGGTATTTGTCTAATTCATCCTAACCTAGGTTGCCATAATTTGCAAATTAAAAAACTGTGTTTTATCTGGAAACCATAAACCCCTACTAAACCTCTAATGCAAAACCACTATTTAAATAACACTGAATAGGGACTGTTTTGTTTACTTGCCACTCCCCTCCAACAAAATGAGTTAAAAGCAGAAACTGGGGGCGCCTGGGTGGCTCAGTCGGTTAAGCGTCCGACTTCAGCTCAGGTCATGACCTCACAGTCTGAGAGTTCGAGCCCCGCGTCGGGCTCCGGGCTGACAGCTCGGAGCCTGGAGCCTGCTTCCAGTTCTGTGTCTCCCTCTCTCTCTGCCCCTCCCCTGCTCACACTCTGTTTCTCTCTCTCAAAAATAAATAAACATTAAAAAAAAATTAAAAAAAAAAAAAAAAGGCAGAAAATTTTTTCTTATCACCTATGCCTAGTAGAAGAAAGCAATAAATACCAATACCAAGGGTTGGCACACTATGTCCATGAACCATAACCCTATCAATAAAGCATTACTGGAATACAGCCACACTTATTCAATTACATATCATTTATAACTGCTTTCAATTCTATAATGGCAGATACAAATAGTTGAGACAAAGACTCTATGGACCCACAAACCCTAAAACATTTACTATCTGGTACTTTACAGAAAGTTTGCTGACCCACTTGGTGAATAAATGAATAATCACCAAAGATATCAAATGCAACCAATATGAAAGTAAAATCAATAAGCATATTAACATGGATATCTGGAGTTTTACAAGTGTGTGTATACAATAAATGTCTGAAGAACACTTTAAATATTATGATGCTTCAGTAAGTTCACACTGATAATTACTCTTATTCGAAGCATAGCAGCTATCACAGTGGTTAATACAGAGGATTTTACCATCTGCACATTTACCTGCTTAGTAACCCCCCCCCATTTACACTGTGAATTAGTATGACAATTACTTTCATTAGTTACATACAGCTGACTCTCGAACAACATGGGTTTGAAGTGTGCAATTCCACTTTTATTCAGATTCTTTCAGTATAGTACAGTAAATGCATTTTCTCATTTCTTTTCATTTTATCTCATATGATTTCCATAATAACATTTTTTCTGCCTTACTTTAAGAATACGGTATATAATACAGATAAACTTAAAACACACGTCTTAATGGATTATTTACATAAGCGTTTGGTTAACAGCAGGGTTTATTAGAAGTTTATGAGGATTCAGAAGTTAAACCTGGATTTTCAATGTGCAGAGCGTCACCAACTTAAGCCTCTGACTTATTCAAGGGTCAATTGTACCTTTCTTAAAATGGACCTCTTTGAGCAAACACTTTGTATTTCACTGGGGGGAAATCATATAGTTTTTAGGACCTAAATAAATGCCATGGTTTCCATACAATAAATCATACTTTGTTATGATAATTAACACTTCACCTAACCATCTTGCATATCTGACCGTATCTGATCCAGAACACAGCTAAGAAATGAGGGGGATAAAAAGGGGATGTACATTCTTGTGAAGTACAAACAGAGCACATGTGAACGTTATGTATATACACACACATACGTGTACATGTAAAGATATATTTCACTATATATTTATAAACACCTATGTGTTTATAAATATATTATTTCACTATATTTATAAACACCTATGTGTTTATAAATATATATATTTGATACTAGTTATATCTAGAGTACATAAATATATACAACTCGGAGCCTGTTCTTAATTATACACAATTATATGCAACATATAAAGATCTTTAACCTGGAAAGATATAAGGCATAAAGATTAACTCAGTTTATTTTTAAAGTTTTTTTTTTAATTGAGGTATAACTGACATAGAACATACATTACTTTCAGGTATACAACACAATGATTTGATATTCATTCTAAATTATACACAATCTATACAAGTTAGTAGTGTAACTATGATAGCCAACACAAATTAAAAGTTCTAAATTATAATAATAAAATTTCTTCCTACAAGTAGGCTAACCAACTGGAGCAGTGAGACGTATCACATGCTACCAATATATGTTTACAATTCATAAACATTTTAAAGCCTTGCTACACAAAGTAAGGTTTCAGAATGGGGGAGGAGGAATGGGCCTTGATTAGGGTCCCATCAGCAGGGACCTTGTCAGAAACGTGGAATCTGCATTTTAACAACATCCTCAGGAGATCTGTATGCACATTCAAGTTTGAGATCCCTGGTTCAGAGGTGTCAGAGAAATTAAATAACTTTAAAAGAAAAAACTGTCTAGTACTTTTCTTGCCAATCATCCAAACCCAAATGAAGGTCCAATTTTGCAAAATACAGATGGAAAAATTACAATATTCATTTAACATAGAACAATACCTTGAGCACTTGAACTTGACCTTCTGTAGTAATTTCCTTTAGCAGCTCACAAAAGGACTGACATAGACCTACTGCATATGTCTGAAATTCAATCAGAAGTCAAAATATACATATGAATAAATTTGCACTATTAAAAAAGGCAAAAATTCAATGTGGAACTATCACCTATTTGTGCATTATATACTTAAGTTCTAAGCATATAAAGTTTCAATTAGAACTCTTAAGAAGGAAAAGCTTAGAAAATAAAAATACAGTTCATTGCTTTACTGATTTTTACAGAAATGTAAGGATACATTTATCTGCATCCTATCTGCCTTACAGTGCTTACAAAGTTTTTTTCTCTCTTTAAAGTAATAGAGTGATCTTTAAAATTTGTAAAAGGTACCTATTGATTTCAAATGAGCAACAATCAAATAACTACATAAATTTTTACAACGCAGAAACTACTAAACCATACCTGTAGAAATTCTGTTGATGATAAAAAGATATAACCATTGATGATCTTAAAGCAGGTTCTGAGGTTTTCTGAACTTAGTTCTGCCAATAAATTTATTTGAAAAAGAACAAATTAATTCAATGTTCACAATCAGTTTAAATGAAACAATTTATTTAGAACTAAGTTATATACCCTTCTTTACAAATCTTTTCTGAGTGCTATTCAGACTACTAAGATATAGATAGCTATCTAAAAACTGACATCAACCTATACGTGAGTACTTTCCCATACACCTCCACTAGTTAAAACAATTCAGAAAAAAATATTAAGGACCAGGCTTTTTTTTCCCTTCAGAAAAGAATTATGTAACCAAATGAACCAACCTTTTGTTTCAAACTACATTTCTAGTGCTAGTGCCCTACTTATGGAAAGAGTCCCTGTTACACTCCAAAAACTTAAACCATTTAGATAATTCTCAATCCTTGATTATCTTCAAATCTCCTCCCTGTAGGAACTTACACATAAAAGATGTTCTTAAAATGTAACTACCAGGGGCACCTGGGTGACTTAGTCCATTAAGTGTCTAACTCTTGATTTCAGTTCAGGTCATGATCTCAGTTACTGGGTTCAAGCCCCACATTGGGCTCCACACTGATGGCATGGAGGCTGCTTGGATTCTCTCTCTCCCCCGCTCTCAGTCCCTACCCTGCTCATGCAAGCTCTCTCTCTCAAAATAAATAAATTTAAAAAACTGTAACTACCAGAATAGCACAAGGATACTGTGTTTTAGCTATTCGAGTAGAAAGCTATTTTATTAAAACTGTATATCATCAAATGTTCATAGTGTTATTTTACATCTTAACACGTATAATACAATAGACTACAGATCTTATGTATATAATTATACAGATCAAAACATGACCCCAAAATCTACATTAAACATCTGCCATTCTTTGTTGCTAATATTTTCAAAATTCTACTTACAATACGATTAAAAAAGATTTTTTTTCTGACAAAATATTGGCCTAGGCTCTGGCACTCAATTAATTCCCATCCTAGCAAAGTGAGAAGACATTCTATTTGGATGAGAACTTCCCATGTACTTTCAAAAGTATCGGACCATCTTACTTCCAGCTCAAAACGTCTTTTAAAGGCACATTCAGTACATACTTTAGGATTCAACAGACCAGTTTAAAATGAAAAAAGTGGAATGGACAGAGATGGATGAAATTGTTACCATACTAATGAAAAAACATAGAAATAATAAAAGCTATCATCTAAATATTTTTCATGTAAGATGACAAAATCTCTGGATAAAGGAGCAGGCCTTTATATTGGATAAAGCTGTTGTGTTTTTTTTTTTAAAGTTTATTTATTTTGAGAGAGAGAACGTGGGAGCAGAGGAGGGGCATAGAGAGAGGGAGAGAGAGAACCCCAAGCTGTCTCTGAGCTATCAACACAGAGCCCAACATGGGGCTCGAACTCACAAACGGTGAGATTATGAACTGAGCTAAAACCTACAGTAGGACACTTAAGCGACTGAGCCACTCAAGGCACCCCTGGATAAAATAATTCTTACAAGAAATTGTCTTTTTCTCCTCAAGGAGAAAGCCAAGTCTGGACTTGGGTACACTGTTTAGCAGACCAACAGTGAAAAAGAGATGGGCAATGATTACAAGTAAGGCAGAAAGGTCTTGCTTAAATAAGAGCTTAAAAAGGCCACAATACAGGCACATCAGGGAATGTAATTTCTAAATCACTGACGTCTAAAATCTTATCAATATATACGATGAAGGGAACAATATTTAAGAAGGATTAATTTCCAAAACCACAGTGTCCATCTCTTCTTGCAGACACTTTAAACACTATTCGTGGGTGCATCTAGAGAGGCAAACACTCAAGTGACTAGTTCACTTCATACTGTTTTCCATGCCTCTATCATGCCAAGGTTAGCTTTGACTGAATTTTCTAGGACATGCTATTATCAGCAAGTATTAAATACTGACACTAAAAATACACTTAAAATTAATAAATTTATCTAATTTAAAGTATAATGAATGTTATTCATTATATCCATGAGTTCCTACAGACACTCTGAAGAAAATTTACTGTCCAGTCTAATATCAAAAGGAGCTATGTTTTAAGGCGCCTGGGTGGCTCAGTCGGTTAAGCATCCAACTCTTGCTTTCAGCTCAGGTCACAATCTCATGGTTTGTGAGTTCGAGCCTCACGTCAGGCTCTGTGCTCACCGTGTCAGAGCCGATTTCAGATCCTCCGTCTCCCCCTTTCTAGCCCTCTCCCACTGCTCTTTCCCTCCCTCACTCTCAAAAATAAAGGTTAAAAAAGTTTTTTAATAAAAAAAAAGAGCCATACTTCAACCATGCAAGAGATCGTATTTATTTTATTTGTTTTATTTTTATATATATATAGAGAGAGAGCACACCCGAGCAGGAAAGAGGAGCAAATGGAGAGAGAGAATCCCAAGCAGGGCTCAATCCCAAAACCTTGGGATTATGACCTGAGCTGAAATCAAGAGTTGGAAACTCAACCGACTGAGTCACCCAGGTGCCCTGTATTTACTTTCAGACCCTGTGAATAACTTAAATCAAATGCTATCAAGCAGGGGCTACTGCCCTCCCAGGAGATACATGGCAAGGGCTGGAAACTCTGGTTGTTACAACTGTCTAGTGGAATGAGGTTAAGGAGGCAATTAAGCTTCCTACAATGCACACGACAGCACCTCAAAGCAAAAAATGACCTGACCCAAAATGTCAACAGTGTCCACACTGAAAACGCCTAACTTAAGTGGTCAAGTGTTTCTTTCATAGCTTGTGAATGAAATCAGAGGGCAAATCTCTGACCCATAGTATCTAATTGTACTATCCATGTATGATTTGTATCTATTAGTCTAATTATAATTTATACTCTGCAAATCCTTTTTTTTACCCCCTATTCTTTTGCTCCTGTAATCTGTACCTTCATGTTATGTTTTATTTATTTTCTTAAAGTCTCTGTAATAGGACAAAGAGAATAAATTATTGAATAATGTTTAAAAAATTGAGTAGAGGGGCGCCTGGGTGGCGCAGTCGGTTAAGCGTCCGACTTCAGCCAGGTCACGATCTCGCGGTCCGTGAGTTCGAGCCCCGCGTCAGGCTCTGGGCTGACGGCTCAGAGCCTGGAGCCTGTTTCCGATTCTGTGTCTCCCTCTCTCTCTGCCCCTCCCCCGTTCATGCTCTGTCTCTCTCTGTCCCAAAAATAAATAAACGTTGAAAAAAAAAATTGAAAAAAAAAAAATTGAGTAGAAAACTCTATTTAACCATACTACTTAATGTTTATGTTTGGAAATGTGACTATCACAATTTCTTTTAATTTCAAGTTCTGATAATATATGAGGGCTAAAATGTGTAATAGAGCCTACCTACATTATCATGAAGTTAGAGAGGGAAAAGTCCCTTCCAAATTAGAGAGCAAGTTACCAGCAGAAAAATCTGATGCGTCAAGGAACATTAGTTTGACATTTATGGTAACATGGACAAGAGCCAGTCAGATATGTATCTTGTAAGTAAGTAGAATACTAAATAAGTTAACACTATAAAATAGATTTAAAGGATTTTAAAAACAAGCCTTTAGAACTACATTATCTGAATTACTTTTAATTATAGCCTCTGGTTCTACTTTAAATTCCTCTGATTCTACATATATTTAGGAAAAAGGATATAAAATGAATTTTAGCCCTGGATTTATTCACACTTAATTAACATATCTTAAAAACCATTAACTTAAACATCTAATAATAGTCAATATTGTTGGTTTTATGGATTTTAAACGAAAATGAGAAAATTCCTGCCAATAGCTTTATTTCTACTTATAAAAATGTAATAGCTATCATATTGACTAAGTAACTTTTTAAAAATCACAGATATTGGAGCGCCTGGGTGGCTCAGTCAGTTGAGCGTCCAACTTTGGCTCAGGTCATGATCTCGCAGTTTGTGAGTTCGAACCCCGCATTGAGCTCTGTGCTGACAGCTCGGAGACTGGAGCCTGCTTCGGATTCTGTGTCTCCCTCTCTCTGCCCCTTCCCCGCTCATGCTCTGTCTCGCTCTGTCTCTCAAAGATGAATAAACGTTAAAAAAATTTTTTTTTAGGGGCGCCTGGGTGGCACAGTCGGTTAAGCGTCCGACTTCAGCCAGGTCACGATCTCACGGTCCGTGAGTTCGAGCCCCGCGTCAGGCTCTGGGCTGATGGCTCGGAGCCTGGAGCCTGTTTCCGATTCTGTGTCTCCCTCTCTCTGTGCCCCTCCCCCGTTCATGCTCTGTCTCTGTCTGTCCCATAAATAAATAAAAACGTTGAAAAAAAAAAATTAAAAAAAAAAAATTTTTTTAAATAAATAAAAATCACAGATATAAAAAGAATCTGTTTTCACTGATAAGCAAGTTTTCTTTTGATCTGTATTCTTAAATGATTAAAATTAATACTCTGGTTGGACTTCAAAGTAAATTTTAAACCTCATATAAAAGAATGTATACGCAAAATGCTGTATGTGGAAATTAGTTTTACAATACTCAAAAAAAAAAGTTAACACTGATGTCAAGGTTACTAAACGTGTAAACATGATTTCTTCATATTACCAAACCAAATACACATACCATAATACATAAAACAAATTACACATAATGTTTGCTTTCAAAGAGAAAAGCAGGGAATAAACTAATTCAAAAGCATCGATATCATCTATATTCACTGCTACTATCTGTAAAATACAGAATTTTTAAAACTTTTGAAAATTAAAAAAGTTTACATCAAATATCAGTATCACAGGGATGAAATCTCACTAGTTCTTTTTTAAACAATGTTTACTCATTTTCAGAGAGAGGGCATGCGTTTGTGGGGGAGGAACAGAGAGTGCATGTATGAGTACTCGTGGTGGGTGGGGGAGAGCAACAGACAGGGAGAGAAAGAGGGAGAGAAAGAGGGAGAGAAAGAGGGAGAGGTAGAGGGAGAGGGAGGGACAGAGAGAGAGAGAGAGAGAGAGAGAGAGAGAATATCCCAAGAAGGCTCAGTGCTGTCAGCACTGAGCTCAAGGCAGGGCTTGATCTCACCAATAGTGAGATCATGATCTGAGCTGAAATCAAGAGTCAGATGCTTAACCGCCTAAGCCACCCAGGTGCTCTACAATTTCACTAGTTTTTGATCCAGTTAAGTAACAAATCCTACAAAGGTTGGTTAGCTTTTCTTTTAAAATAACAGTAATATTAACAGTAACACATATAATTGCAAAATACTTAACTAATCTTTAGTATGTGCCAGGGAATGTTCTTAACACATAGAAGTCCTTACTGATTTGGAAAGACTATGCATCAACTACAAAGCTTTCTATGGTAAACTGTACCATCGTGTTTACCTAAATCTACACTCAAAATACTGTCATAAAATCACAGTAGGGTTAGTCAATGCTTTTATGTCTCTTTTTCCAGTGTACCAACCCTTCTCCTGCTATACTGTAAAGGTCAGGTATGCTGAATTTGGGGTCAAAGAACACATGTAAAGTGAAATCACTGTGACTATCCACTTTGCCATGAACAGGAGTCAGCCATTTTTACTTAGGAAGATATCCATAAAGGAAAATTGTCTGAATCCTGTTCATGACAACGTTGATAATGGCTCCAGTTGAGGTTTCTATTCCTCGGTCAAATATAAAGAACTGTGGATTACCCAGAATGGCACTGTATGTGGTCTCCAAGTTAGGTAGAATAGAACTAAAAGGCCTCTGCCAGAGTTAAGGGAAATGAAAGGCTATTTCCCACTCTATTTCTCTGTAGTGTCTTAAAGACAGACACAACTTTTCTTACAAGACTAGCAATAAGTGGTCTATTGGCACAGTCTTCATCTTTGGGAATTTTTTCAACATTTTTATAAGGACACTTTATGATAAATGGCAAGTGGCTCTTTAATGGAAAACAATGGGTATTTTGGTATTATTTTTTATATGAAGAACAGGATAACAGAAGATCTCAGAAAAAACACAAAGGACTAATTATATCATCTGCCCACTAATACCACCCAGCAAATGAGATGTTTTCTAATCAGTTTTAATAGTGTTTTAATCCACATTTGTTGATACTTTCAAAAAGTTTATCTACTTTTCCAGTGCATCACTGTACCTCAATAATATTTCTGCCTCTAATAAAACTGCTCACTACAAGTAAGTTCCCAGAAAAAAGTCTTCAGATATTGCCATAAATGCCCTCTCCTGACAATATTCAGTTAGTGTATACAAAGTTCCAATGAAGGAATTAAAGATGCTTGAAGAATACTATGAATGGAAAAAAATTTTTACATTTTATAAATAAATGATACTATTTTACAGACTGGAAAAGAATCAGAAAGGCGACTAAATAGCACCGTATACAATCCTTGTATTACTCCATGAGTTGATGTGGATGAAACTCGACTGTATTATGCTAACTGAAGTCAGTCAGTCAGAGAAAGACAAATATCCTATGATTTCACTCACATGTGGAATTTAAGAAAAAATACAGATGATATGTGGGGAAGGGAAGGAAAAATAAAATAAGATAAAAACAGAGAGGCAAACCCTAAAAGACTCTTAAATACAGAAAACTGAGGGTTGCTGGAGGGGAGATGGGTGGGCAGATGGTCTAGATGGGTGATGGGCATTAAGGTCGGCAGTTGTGACAAGCACCGAGTGTCATATGTAAGTGATGAATCACTAAATTCTACTCCTGAAACCAATACTACACCGAATGTTAACTAACCTGAATTTAAATGAAATCTTGGAAAGAAAAAAAATGTGAATCTCCAATGATAAAATCCCTCACGAAGTAAAATCTCCAGAAACAATTATTCATTTTTTCAATGTAAAATACTACATACTTGTGAATGGTAGTGATATCTAACAGAAAAGTATTTATTTCCTTGAGAATTATCATCATAATCCATGTTTCGATTGAAAAACAAAACAACAATTAGATCTCATCCAAGGTGGCTGAAAGAAACTAAGGCCCCATTCCTTGCAGAGTGTCCAGGTCCCCTATCCCATGTGTCACAAGTGATGCTCCAGGAACATCAAGCTTCGGGATAGGGTGCCTGGGTGCTCAGTTAGTTAAGCATCCAACTCTTGATTTGGACTCAGGTCATGATCTCACTGTTTGTGAGCTAGAGCCCCACGTCTGGCTCTGCACCGACAGCTCAGAGCCTGCTCAGGATTCTCTCTCTCCCTCTCATTCTACCCCTCCCCTGCTCACATGCTCTCTCTCTCACAAAATAAACTTTAAAAGACAAAAAGAACACTAAGCTTCATGATGTCACATCTCTATACATAAGTAACACATCAACAAACAATAAATATGATTTGCCAGTAGTTAACAGTCTTCACATTGTTGCTTCCTTAGGCTAAAAGAGAAACACGTATGGGAGCACCTGGGTGGCTCAGACAGTTAAGCATCCAACTCTTGGTTTCAGCTCAGGTCATGATCTCACAGTTCATGAGTTCAAGCCCCACACTGGGCTCTGTGCTGGAAGCTGGGAGCCTGCTTGAGATTCTCTTTCTCCCTGTCTCTGCCCTCCCCAACTCACACTGTCTCTCTCTCAAAATAAATTTAAAAATTAAAAAAAAGAAAAAAAAATATGTACAGAGCTCATTTGTGATAGCGTAAATCTGATAGCATAAAATCACTTTGTAAAACAAACTGGATGAAACCACGGTATACAGAAGCAGTTTTATAATATTGTCTTTTAAATACTTTATAGAATCTGCTATGAAACACAGAAATTTTAACAAAGTTAAAACTAAACACAGAATTAGATTTCCAAGAAGACTTTTTTTAGTGATTTAGTAAATTTAGCGTTCACTCTTCACAAAGTAGAAATGGTTTTACAAAGTTATATAGGAAAAAAAAAATCCACAAACTATTAAAACACTATTAAACTTGTGAGTTATCAGGGACTTGTGTAAAATGGAAGGTATAATTTAAAGTCACCCAATAAGGCCCCAAAGGAGGGCTGCATTCAAAAACAGTATTAAGTTTACATTTTAATACATACCAAGAAGGGGGGACATATTCTGAAATATGCGAAGCAACTCCGGTGTAATACATGGGCTGTTTTCCAAAGTCACTAACCTAGGAAGAAAAAACAAATAGCTGAATCTCTTTCTATAGCCATTAAGCTCTTAACAATACAACTTACTAAAAAATTGTCCCATCTAAAGGAAGAAAGAAAAATGAACAATACAGCAAGTTACAAAAGTTATCTTTCTATATCAAATGAAAAAGTACACATCGCACATTATTTTCTATATACACAGCAAAAATAGTAAGGGAAGTAACTACATATTAAAATATTTACAACTACAAAACGTCTTTACAATAAAATTTTAATGATACAGCAAAAGTATGATTATTATGGAATGGTCAAGGAAACATAAAATTGTCTTGTTCTTTTTATATTGTTCTGTCACATGTAACTGATGTGCCCTTTCAACACGACACTGGGCAACATGAAAGAATAAATCTATAAAAAATAAAATATATATGGGTTGCGGTTTATCACAGAAGCGTGCATTTGGCTTACCTCCTCACCCCTCACCCAAAGAAGTGAAAGGAGAAAAAAAAACCATGATTGTCACAATAGTTGCAAGAAAGGAGTAGGAGGGGATCCTATTCAAAATCTAACATTCATTATAAAAACGCTTATCCTATTACAAACAGAAAGTAAATCCTTAATCTGGTAAGAGAGGACCTATCCAACACTCAAAGAAAACACACTTAATGATATGTTGAAGCCATTCTCTGGAAAAACAGAATCACATCTCAAACAATTTCTTCTATTACCTTGCCTGCCTTCCCATCTACTGAGTGTATATATGGATGGTTCCTCACATGATATGCCAACTAAGTTAATAAGACACAAGGGTGAGAGGAGAAAGTTAAATAGGCTTTATTTACAACAGGTGTGACAGACAGAAAAGAGACGCAGAAAGAATTCATAAAGTATTGTAACCACTAAGAGACTTCAACAAGGCTGCTGTAAATATCAATACACTGCATACAAAAATGAACTCAGTTTCTACACTCAAAACAAATAAAGATTTAAATAGATGTTGGGGCACCTGGGTGCCTTAGTTGGTTGAGTGTCCGACTCTTGCTTTCAGCTGGGGTCATGATCTCCCAGTTTTGTGAGTTTGAGCCCTCTGTCGGGCTCTGTGCTGGCAGCTCAGAGCCTGCTTGGGATTCTCTCTCTCCCTCTCTCTGACTCTCCCCCACTTGCAAGGTCTCTGTCTCTCTCAAATAAAGTAAAACTTAAAAACAAAATAAAAATATTTAAATAGATGTTATTATAAGAAACACTAATACAAAAATCTAGCATCATAATGATGTCAATTCTCTCCCCCACTTAGAATGTTTCTCTCTCAAATAAAACTTAGAAACAAAGTATTTAAACAGACGTTATTTTAAGAATCACTGATACAGGGGCGCCTGGGTGGCGCAGTCGGTTAAGCGTCCGACTTCAGCCAGGTCACGATCTCGCGGTCCGTGAGTTCGAGCCCCGCGTCAGCCTCTGGGCTGATGGCTCGGAGCCTGGAGCCTGTTTCCGATTCTGTGTCTCCCTCTCTCTCTGCCCCTCCCCCGTTCATGCTCTGTCTCTCTCTGTCCCAAAAATAAATAAACGTTGAAAAAAAAAAAAAAAAAAAGAATCACTGATACAAAAATCTAGCATCATAATGATGTCAATTCTCTCTAAACTGTTATAGAGAATCAATAAAACTTCAACCCTCCATAGACTTTCCCTTAGAAATTAGGAAAGTGGATTCTAAAATGATTTAGAAGGCAAATGACCAAGAATAAACAAGAAATTTATCAAGAAAAAAAACATATGGGGGGGGGACTTGCTTTATGACTCACTCTAAAACTAATGTATTTAATATCATAATAAGAATACCACAAGAAACAGACCCACTCATTTAGGACAGAGGTGGTTCCTAGGTTAAGAAAGGTTGGAAAACTCAGGCATTGGTGGGAAGCTACTGGGCCGCTACCTCACACAAAATACAGTAATTAATTCCAGTATTTATATGAGAAGTGTAAGTCTTTATTTTATGTTAGCAGTACATACTTAAAGTTTAGGTTTAAGAAAGACTACAGAAAAAGATGAATAGGACTACATTAAAGTTAACAATTGCTCTATGTCAGAAGATGTCTCAAAATTGTCAAAATCTAAGTCACATGCTGGGAGAAGACTGTTTCTAATATATATAACTGAAAAGGGAACAGTATTCAAAGGAATACACAAAAGAGGTTAGGAAGAGAAAAACATATAGAACAAACGAACAAGCAATCCAGAGGATACAAAAATTGACAATAAACTTGACTATTAAAAGTATAAAAAGATATTGAACCCAACCAGTAATCAAATCACAGCCAAAATTACAAACGCAAATTATAAGCAAAACAAGGTACAATTTTACCCCTACCATATTACCAGGATTTTTCAGTCTGACCTAATAAATACTGGCAAAGCTATAAAAAAGTGAAAACTCTTGCACACTGTTGACAGGAAGAAGTTGGTATCAAGACTTGGAAAGTATTATTATCTGAACTAGTGAAATATGTCTATGCACACACCTATGACCTCATGAATAAGGTCTCATACATTTGCACACTTATTCATGTACAAAAATGTTCAAGTTGCATTATCTGAACATCCGACAAAATGGCATGAGTAAATGAACTGTTACATTCACACCATTACATTCAGCAATATGGATGAATCTTAGAACAGAGAGCTAAAAAAATAAGTTAGAACACCTATTGTAAAATTTATATGAAGGTAAGATACATTGTGTAGAGTCACATACAAACGTGACTGTAAAAACAGCAAGCCACAAGAAAATAAACTAAGGAATGAAAACAAAAAATACTGGTACACCGGCTCATCCCTGCAATGAAAACAGGAGAATCCAACAAACATCCCACACCACGGGCTTCACAGACATTCTTACTCTCCCACAGCTTCACCAGGGTACAGAAAATGGATTTTCATTTTATGTAAGTTATAAATAATTACAAACAATATGACTTCCCTATTACTTTGTATCTATGAATTATTTCACAAATCTTAAATGTCAAAATTAGGAAGAAGAAGGGGGACATAGAAGAAAGCAGCCACCCACAAAATGAAGTACGGGCCACACACACAAGCAGTGGTAGCTTTAGATACTTTGATCAACAAGAAGAGGATTTGATTCCATGATTACATTTCTCAAGAATACAATGAAAGAAAAGATTTTTAAAATTCTTTCCTATTCCCCTTTAAAATAAAAATGAAACCGAAAGAAAAACCATAATCCAGTCAGGATATTTCAGTGAGAAAACAATTGATGGGCATCTTCTAAATCTCAGAATACATTTGAAGCTCTGTCACTGGGCCCAAATTAAGACTCCATGTGACTCTTTCCCTCCCACTGTCATTATCTTAGTAAAAAGAGCATTCAGGTCATTGTCACTCTCACTACCTACCTATGCTAGCTTCCCAAATACAAGCCATACTATTTTAAAAAGGAAGAAATCTTGGGGCGCCTAGGTGGCTCAGTTGGTTGAGCGTACAATTCTTGGTTTTGGCTCAAGTCATGATCTCACGGTTTGTGGGTTACAGCCCCATGTGGAGCGTGCTTGGGATTCTCTCTTTCTCCCTCTCTCTCTGGCTAACCCCCACTCATACTCTCTCAAAATAAATAAACTTAAAAACAAAAAGGAAAAAAAATCTTGCAGAGTTTAAAGTACTTAAAAGTACTATGACATGGCAACCACTCCAGATTAAACAAGTGAATGCTTAGAAAGGAAAGAAAGAGAAACAAAGTCAAGGCACTAACGGAAAGTTAAGGGACAAGTTATGCTGATGAATAATTAGACAAAGTTGTATATACCAACATCTTTAGCTAGAGAAATGTAAATTTTAATGTTACCCCTCTAAATAAAATACAGAAAACAAAGAGCATGCAGTAAAAACACAGGTATAGCAATTCAACAAATAAATATAAGAGCATGAAAATTCTTTTGAGGCAAAGCCTCTCTGGTTAAGTGAAATACAAAATATAAAAATTTTCTCTGTATAGGAGATACAATTAAAGTTCTAATAGAAAAGCTAAAATGTAAAAGTTGAACAAAAAAAGTTAAGTCAAATCTAAACAAAATAAACCATATAACAATATTAGTATCAAATAAAATTTAAATGCAAAAGAATTAAAAGGTGAAAAATTAATCAATACATACATATATCAAATGACACTTCATGATAATATTTTAAATTTTAAATACTGTGTTTTATTTGTTAAATTCTTTAAAACAATATAGAAAAATACCAAAACTCTGTGCTGTAAAAATTTTATTTCTAGCATTCAAGTATAAAAAGAAATAGAAATAAAAAGGGACACTGACACAAAGCAAACTAAATAGATATTTTAATTAATCACTGTCAAGATTAAGACGTGAATCACTGATTTGAACTATACAACCTATTAGAAAGAATAGATATATATAAATTCTGCATCTTTAATATCATCACTATTTGAGACTGTTACAAAAAGAGAGCCTCGAGTCATTAAAATTCTTATTAACTTTTTAAAAATTGTACAAGTGACAGGTTGTATTTACAATGCAATAAATCCAGACCTGAATCATGTACTTTAATATCAGCAAAAAATAAATGAGGTTGCGTCAAAGAAGACATTAAAAAACTCTAATGCTACTACCAAAATAACAAGACTTAAGGGAAATAGGCCATTACAATGGAAGGCAAATTCATAGCTTTAAATGTTTTAGCACTTAAGAAAAGGTAATGAAGTAACTATTTTTTTATAGCTTTAAAAAAATACACCCAGTTAAGGGTAGGAAGTAGAAAATATGAAGCAGAAGTAAAGTAACAAAGGGCAGAAACAGAGAACTCATAAAATGCAACATGTAGTTCTTTCATATTAATAAAAAGAAAAAAATCTCTAATATACTTTTTTTTTTTACATCTCCAACTTTTATTGGCAAAGAGAGTAGCCATTTTCATAACAAAGCCTATCAGAAACATCCACCAGCTTTGCCCAATGTATTTTCATTACATTCAGAGTATGCAATACCTGATGCATACTCTATTCTAGTTGGTAAGGCATGTGTTGAACCTCATTATGGTACTGGGCCCAAAGCACAGAATGTTTCTCTTGGTTACCTTTTAATTATCTTGCCAGTTACCTTTTAATTATGAATCCGTACTAGCATATAAAGTGCTGCTTCTACATATTTGCCTGACTAATAAATGTACTTTAAAAGAGATAATAAATATACTTTAAAAAGAGATAAATCAAAAATAAGACTACAAGTAACAGAGATAAAGCACATGCTTGTATGTTTTTTTTTTATTAGTATCTTAAGGGAGGAAGTACCAAAATTAACAGACATGGAAAATCAAAACTAAAGTATGTACAAACTAACAACTAAGAAACAACCTGAAAATATCACCAAACTGTGAATAACTTCCCAGCCACTGCCATGAGTCCATTTCCAGTTCCCTTTTCTACTCAATTTTCAAATCATCCAAAGAATAGTTACCATATCACAGAGATCATTCCAGTATGGAAAAAAACACATTTTTTAAAATAGTGAATTGGTAAAACACACATAACACTGATATGAAATCAGACAGTATCACAAAATATGGACAAGAGATCTTAAGAGTTCAGGAAAAAATAAAATCTGATAAAATACCATAGAACAATAGAAAAGACTTGTATAACATATCAAAAGTAGAATTCACCCTAGCAAGAAAAGTTTATCTCAGAAGTCAGCTCTTTAAAAAGAGATTTTGAGGTTTTAAGATTCTAATCTCCTGAGTAGATGGCAAAAGGCAGTCACATCAGTTGTTGTTGTTGTTGTTGTTGTTTTTAATGATGAAGACCATATTACATTTAATGGCATATAGCCAACGCTTATTGTGGACCAGTATCCATTACCTGATCCTACTTCTTTAACAAAGAACAAAACAAAAACAAAAAAACTATTAATGTAAGGTTTGTTCAAATTCTATTTAAAAATATTTTATAGTAATAGGTTTATATTAGTAAAGAAGATCAAAAATTATTGAGCCAAATCTCAGAATATTAAGTCAAATGACAAAAACAAACTTTAAGTAGAAAAAGAGGAAATGATAAATATAAGACCAGAAACTAACAAATAGGTAACAAAAATACAACAAAGAGAAAGCCAAAGGGTGGTTCTTTGAGAAGACTAGTAACACTGGCAAATCTCTAGCAAGCTGCATCAAGGGGGATGGGGGGAGGGGAACATGGGGGAAAAAAACACATAATCACTCTAAAAAGTTTTCCTTTGTGTATGGGACCTCAAATATCTCCTACTACTAATTATCCCCTAGTAAGTTCAAATTCCCATTCTCCAAGATAACTATTTAAATCTTTTTTCTCCACAAATCCCTCTATCTTCTATGTACTTCCACTTCAGCCAATATTAAAGTGATGACTATGCTTCATATTTGAGAAAACAGAATCTATTAGACCCAACACCTTCCTATCACATCCCACTATAATACAAAAATCCATCTTCCTGCCTCCAGTTAAAATGGATGAAGTATCACTGATGTTACTTAAAACCAAAACCAACAAACAGCTACATATGCTAAATCACATCCCTTCGTGCCTCCAATTATGTCGTTCTCTGGAGCCTCATCCATCCCTCTAGACTGCATTCCCCACACCAGCCAACTGCTGCCCTATTTCGACATTCCTCTTCATTGTCAAGTGCTCCCAATGTTGCCAAGGCTCACAGTCTGTAATTAATTTCAATTCTAGTCAGTTCTTACTACTTTACTGAAACCCTTGCTATCATCTCCATGTGGCCAAATTCACTTTTTTGTACGATTCTACCTAGAATAATCAGCAACATATGACGTAGCTGACCACCCTTTCAGGAAATATTCTTTCTTGGCTTGGTTTTCCTCCTCTTATCAACAGACAGCTCTACTCTGTCACCCTTGATGGCGCCCCTCATGTGACCTCACGAATGCCTTAAGTTCCTTGGGATTCTGCTAGGAGCAGAATGTTCCACATCTGCCCTTCCTTCTTAGGCAACTTTACAGACTCTCATATGCAAAGAGCTAACCATTTAACACACATTATCTCATCCTCACAACCATGTGGGGTAGGAATTATACTTCCTAATTTTACAGATTAAGAAAGTGAGGCTCACAGATGATGATTACATACCTCATGCAGTGGCATAATTGGGACTGGCACCTATATCTGATTCTAAAAATGAGTTCTAACTCAGTATACCCTAGTTTAATTTAAAGAATCTAAGCTATTAAGCATTTGAGCTAAAAAAAAAAAGGAAACAAAAAGAGAGAGAGAGAAAAGAAAGAAAAAAGGTATTCTAACAATTTCATTTTGTTTACATACAACTAAAGGCTAAGAAAACAAGAGATAACAACAGAGCAATGTACATTTATTACTGCCTGTTCATGTAATCCTTAAAAAATTTATATACCTTTAATAAACACATTAATATGCTAAGTCTATAATACTGTTAAGTATCGGAGTCTATCTCTTTACTATAAGTAATACTTTTAATTTTTCTAATAGTCAACATCATATATTGTCTACATATTTATAGAAAAGTATGTCTGACACTAGTCAGAGACTAGTGTCTTAACTTGTAATCTAGAGTAGGCGTTGGACAGCTAGAGTTCATGGGTCAAATTCAACCCACACTCAATTTCTATAAATGATGTTTTACTGCAACACAACCATTTTACATATTGTCTGTGACCATTCTCGTGCTAAAACAGCAGAGGTCAATAGTCAAGAGATCACACAGCCTGGAAAGCCTAAAATATCTACTATCTGCCCCTTTACAGAAAAAATTTACCAACATCTGATCTCGAGTAATCCATCCTGTACAAACAAAAATACATGAATATATATTTTCAACACATGCTAATTTACAATAAAACCACCCAAAGTCATTTAGGTTCCAACAACACAACCTAGAAAATATGAGAAAGTTTACTTGTAAATCGAGTATCTACCTAACATTTTAAAATCATTCATGTAGTATTCTGCTACAGATCATTAATTTGTAATTTGCACCAAAGACAGTTTCTAAAAAATAAAAAAAAATGTTCATTCCTAAACATCTAAGAAAAACTAAGGCAGGAAGGAAAGGAAGGAGAGAAGGAAGAAAAAAGGAAACCAGAAATGTTCATTTTTTCCATGCTTAATTTCTGTGATTTTCTTTTTTAATTCCAATAGTCAGTTTATACATGACAACGTTGGAGCCCTTTCTGTATTATAACTGACCTGCAGAAATTTGCTGTCATCAGTAAGATAAGCTTAGTAAAGCTGAAGGATTTTCTAGCACAGTTCCTTACACAGTGGGCAGTCAATAAAGGTCTGCAGCAGTGAGCTGCCTCAGAAACAGAGTTTTTCGTTTTTAACACGACACACTACTACTCACTTGGCAAAATAATTAGTCAAGACCAAGAAGCCTCAGCATTTGGGCCTGAGATATATTATCCGAGTATGTAATAGGTGAAGTAGCAAGAGGCTGAAAAATGACTCAACATCCCCCAAAACATCTCATTTAACAGGCTGCAAGTTTTTTTTTTTTTTAATTTTTTTTTTTTTTCCAACGTTTATTTATTTTTGGGACAGAGAGAGACAGAGCATGAACAGGCGAGGGGCAGAGAGAGAGGGAGACACAGAATCGGAAACAGGCTCCAGGCTCTGAGCCATCAGCCCAGAGCCCGACGCGGGGCTCGAACTCACGGACCGCGAGATCGTGACCTGGCTGAAGTCGGACGCTTAACCGACTGCGCCACCCAGGCGCCCCCAGGCTGCAAGTTTTAAGTCATTTTTAGTTTTGAAGTTTTATTGAACTCTCCCCATTTTACATTTCAAATTCCAAAGGTTAAAGGCAGCTGAGTCGTTACTGAAATTTCCCCTTTCAACTTTGACTACTATGAGCCTATACTGAGCGACAGCTGCCAAGAAGAGATGGAACTATGATGTTACCCAATTCAGGGAAAATGGTTTTATGTTTCTGTTTTTAAATACTGGGTTTTTAAGGCCTGTTACATGACCTTTGCTTTATTGGCATGAGAGTAGGGAAGGCCAGGAAAAAAAAAAAAAAAAAAAAAATCCAGGGAATCAAATTTTTCCTCTTACCATAATTCTAAACCATCTTCCAGAAGATAAACATGTGGAGGCTGGGAAACATCTGTACTCAGTTGGATAACTGGGAGCAGGAAAGGGTACAGGTTCTTGCTGTCTGCTCCTAATCCCTAAGGGAAGTATAAATAAAACTTAACGTAAGACACTCTAAGATCCCACCCCCACCAAAAAATAACCTATTGTATAAAAATGTCCTAAAATGAGCTGATAAAAAATAAATCCATCAGATTTTCTGGGATGGTCCAAACTATAAGCACTACTAAAACAAGGTTAGTTCTGTTTACAATTGAACAGCAAGTAGCAAAAAAATACTATTCAATTGCCCAGGGGTAGTAGAATCATATACACCAATGGTATAAACATCTGTTTTAAGAGGTTCCATATGTATCTTCCCCTCTGACTACTAAAGTGGTACTAACACTGCTATATTAAATTCCATAAATTATTTCACCTAAGTAATCTAAAATGAACCCAATCAAAATGTTCATTAGTAAGATAATTGCATCATAGTACATTCATATTCCAGAATAGTGACTAGCCAATGAAAAAGTATTAGGCATGGAATAAAAACAATCTCAAAAATAATTACAAACTGGATTTAAAAGATGAAGAAGTGTGTATATAACAACTGCAAAAACCCAAGAATTTTTAAACACACCTACCACATGCAAAGAGATACACACATAAAAATGTTTCTTTGGAGTATACAGAAAAAATTAACACTAATTAAATACAGGAAGGGGGAAAGGATGCTGAAAGAATGTAAAAATTATTTTTTTCTTAAGCTTTGTTTTAAAAAAATGCACAAAACTTTTTTAATGAACAATTTTTGCTAATATTTTTAATGACCCAAAAAATGGAGGAAGAAGAGGGGGGTTTATCTAAAATTCTAGTTTACCTAATTATTGTTTTATGGAGATTGACTCAGTGTGTCACACTAAGTCCAAGCACTCTGAAAGGAAACATAAAGGATAAGAAGCCAATTTTTAATCCATAATATTCTCTGTAATCTGACTAACACAGAAAGGAAACCAATAAATATCAAACATCTCCTCATTTAGGAAGTAATTCAAATATCAATAGCTAAACAAAATCTATTAAGCAAAACAAAATCTGTATGTATACATCTTCTGTTAAGCAAAACAAAATCTTTATGTATACATCTTCTGATGCCATATATATACTGAGTTCAATCTTTATTAGTGGGACAGATACCTAAATGGAAATGCATAAAGCTTATCCTTAAGTAAGTTTGGTTCTTTCTAAAACTAAAAATCGTTGAAAGACCTTATTAAAGATCTTTTTAAAGGAAGATAGTTATCAAAATGTCACACTTAATAAAGTAGTACACTGTGTCTTAAAATGAAGTTCAATTTCACTCTCTGTAGTTCGATCTTTAATACAACAACAAAAGAAAAGGAACATTAAGATAAACTAGTCAAGTTCGTTTTGATTATTAAGCAGACTCAAAATTTCCTAGAAAAATTAAAATCTACCTACTTACTTAGTGCACATCCCAAGAAGCATGAGATGCTAGCTTTCGCAAAACTAAAGCCTCTGCTAAACATGTAAGACTCTCGGTGAAATCCTGAAGACATTTACCTTTGTAGTCTAATGGCCTGAAGAATGTGTGCAATCCCAGATATACAACTTTAAATAAATGTGAACATTCTCTCGGCCCACAGTCATAACTACAAGACATTGTCTACAACATTATGAAAAAATCACAGTAACACTTTTTCTACAACAGTATGAAAGCTCAAAATTAAATTCATTAGTTATTAAAATGATCAGAAATGCTTCAAGAGGCAGAAATCTTATTGTATAATAATTACATAAGACAGAAGGGAAAATGAGGTGAAGGGTACTCTGCACTATCTTTGCAACAGTCAGTGAATTTATAAGGTTATTATTATTTTTTAGGTTAAGGGAAAAAAAGAATAAAACCCCCTAAATATTGGCATTTCACAGGATAACGTATTGGACTGCCTTCTCCTGTGTCATGTGCATGCGGAAAATGTCCCAAAATATTATCTCCAAACACAGATCTCTGAACTCCAGACACTGAATAAGTACAGGACATCATCACCCAGAAGTCATCTCAAACTCTTAAGGTGACCACTGAACCAATTCACTGTCTTCCTAAAAAAAAGCTCCTGTCCGGCCTTTCCAAACTCAAGTGACCTGTACGACTACCTATTTAGTGGTAAACAGTCTCACATCCTCCTCCTAGTTCCTGTTCCTACTCACCCCACATCTCAACAATCCTTTATTCTACTATTTTTCAAATCTTTCCCCTTCTTTCCATGCATTTTACTTCAGATCTGCATCATCTATTTTCATGGTTAACAGAAAACGTACCAACCACTTTCCCTGGCCTTAGTTTTACTCCATTCCAAACCCTGTCTCCACTGGCACCCTGATTACCTTACTAAAATAAAAATGTTAACACTTCTTGCTTTGAACTTGAAGAGATGTTCTTGTGGCCTTCCTGACCAGGCCCCTATAACCATGTTCTGTACTATGCTCCGGCCACACCATACAACTCAGTATTATCAATCACAATGTTAAAATCTGGAGGAAGCGGACAGATTTAACGCATGCATTTACTACTCTTCTCTGCCAGGATCCACTTAAAGAATATAGAAGGATGTGTTTAAAAGATCCATAATCATAAGTACAAAGATAATGTAAGAAAAGATAAGGACTGAAAAGACAAGCAGTAACTTAGCAAACTTAGAAAACCAAGCTCAAAGCCAGCTGTAAGAAAAAGTCAAGAAGCAACTTGATTTACATCACAGAAACTCCAAAAGACACAGGAACTGGTAGCACCAGGTACTTTGGGAAGAGTGACGTTCAAGGTCAGGTATTAAAACTAAGAGGGCCTCTAGAGTTTTACAAAGCAGCATGATGCCAAGATCTCATCCAAGTCCACAAACAAGTGGTCCCGTTTGATTCTCTGATAACGTAAAACAAATTATCTCAAGACAAGGAGATACCCGGTAATGAAAAGCAGGGATACATTAAAAAAAAGGGAGATGTAACATGCAAGAGACAGGAAAATGAAAGATCTTTTACTAAGAAAAGACATCAAAAACAAGGATGGTTCCCCTACAAAACTACCCAGCGAGATTATACTCGCAAGGAAAAATGCGCAATTTACTACTGTAAATGTAAGTTCCCCATACATTTTCTACTCTCTCCATTAGCGTTTTTGTTTTTTTAAGTAGGCTTCTGGTCCAGCCTGGAGCCCAATGCAGGGCATGAACTCATGACCCGGAGATCAAGACCTGAGCTGAGATCAAGAGTCAGACACTTAACCAACTGAGCCACACAGGAACCCCCCAATTAGCTTTTTAGTGCCCTAAATTTATATTGACAAAATGTTGATGATTCTTGAAGTTGGGTGATAGTTACCTAAAGACTGATTATATTGTTCTTCCTTTTGTGTATGCTTCAAATTTTTCACAACTTAAAAAATAGTAACAAAAGCAGGCAATCAAGGATCAAGAGATGATCTCTTCAATCAGAGACTACTAGTCTGGGTTCCCAGAGCTTAAAAAATGAAAACAAAAACATACAAATAAACTATTATCTCCCTCTCAAATCTGGAAAGCCCAAAGATGGCAGTGTTTTCTATAAAATGAACCTTAACAATAACCCTTAGTATAATTTTCTCAAATGACTGAAAAACACATTTTAAGCTATAGTCTCAACTTTATATTAAACGTCGTATGCTTTCTCCAAGAAGGCGATGAGCACTTGGCTGGAACCCTGCACCTCTGGCCTAAACAAATACAGAGGGCAGAAGGGTCACAAAGGAAGGAAAAGGCCCTATCCTCTCCAAACATTCCGAGCAGGTTACTGTGGCTTCCTCAGACTTCCTGAGGTAATCCTACCTAAGGAGACAGAGAAGCTGGGTTTTTTCACACCTCCCTCACAAAACTCTCAAAAGGAGTCTAATAAGAACACATTTTGGCAAAGATGTAACACAAAAGAGGTGGGATCACAGTTTGTTCTGTTATTTCTGAGGGCAATCTCAGGACAGTCAGTAACCTTATCCTAACCTTTGTACCCTTTTCTATGAAAGGGACATAATCTTCGCAAGAGATCACAACAATTAAATAGTAGATAAGAAGAGATGCTACATGAGACACTTATTAAAAAGAAGGTGTTTTACAGGAATTTTGTATCACTATTCATTTATTTGAAACTGCCTTAGGTAGGATTTTTTAACTATAAAACTCATCCGTAAGGTTTACTGAAAGAAAAAAAATTGCATTTCAAAAAAAGGATGTCTGAGAAAGGTTTTTTAAAAACTCGTGTTCACGTGTTTTTTCCCCCCTATTTTTAACTTATTCAAAAAATGGAGAGTGGTAACTATCAACTTAGAGCTCTCTCCATTGGACAATCTATCACAATTTGGGGCAAGGCCAGTAAAACTCAGTTGAGCATACCTGGATGCAGATATTAGATTTGGCATTAAAATCTTACCTTTCTGTCCTCTCGCCGTCAGACTGTAAGTCACTGTAATAGTTCAAATGACAACTACAGCCTGTTCATCACTCTCTGAAATCTGAGATTCCTCTCTACCTGCTGCACAACCCTGACACCTCAAAGTCACGAGGACGAAAACCATACTCACTCCTTCCCTCAAAAGTAACTCACCTGATTGTCTACCTTCTCAATTTATGAAAGAGTAAAATTTTGATGTTAGATCACAAAAAAAGGGTGAAAATGAAGAGCAAATTTATACAGAAAAGCTCTGGATACCAAGCAAAGTGCATGGAAAGTATAACAGAATGCACAAATCATGAGTCTATCACCATGAGAGACCACTTCATCTAATGAATGAAACGTCTTTAAAAAGGAGTATTTCCTACATGTCAAAAAATGTCCAAAGCCAACACACAAAAGTAGTTTTTAAAACTGTTTAAGATAATTCATGAAAAAGACATAACTGGGAGGCCTTTCACTACCATTAAAATAAAGCACATGAAAACAATGAAAAATTTGTAAAAAGGAAAAAAAAAAAAGCAAAAACCCAGAATCTTAAGCACAGAGAACTGGTGATGGCCAGAGGGGAGGTGAGGGAGAGGATCGGTGAAATATAAATAAGGGATTAACGGGTACAAAACTCCATTTATATAATAAATAGGCCTCAGAGATGAGAAGTACAGCACAGGGAATACAGTCAATAATACTCTAATAACATTGTATGGTGACAAGGGGCATCTACACCCCTTGTGGTGAACACTGAGTAACGTACAGGACGGTCCGATCAACTGTTGTACACATGGAGCTAACAGAACACTGTATGTTAATCAGACTTCAGTAAAAAAAAGAAATATACTAAATTCAGAAACTGGAAAGTAACTTACCTGAACAAGATGAATAAGTGTTGTCAGAATAGCACATCTCAACATATTGTGTTCTTCGCTCTGCTTCCAAAGAAGAGGCAAATACTGTACCAAACATCCTACATACGGTCGTATCTATCACAACAGAAGGAAGGGAAGCAAAAGGACTGTATTAGGAAAGAAGGCAATTTCCTTCAAGACACAATGACAGAACATTATTAAGTCCCAGGAAGGAAATATTTAATATTTTCTAGACGAAATATATTATGTATGTATCTTTTTAAAAACAGAGACATAAAGCTCTACGGTTATTATTTTTCAAGAATTTAAAATAAGTACCAAATTTACTGCATGAAATAAAATTTAGGAAAGCAACATAATGTAACCAGTTATCAAGAATTTAACAGAAAACGTTATTATACCCTAGTTCTTTTTTAATAAAACAGCTTACCTAACTGGAAATTACACTGTTTTAAAAAGTCAGCATTTACTCATACATTCAACAATTATCTGATGGCATCCTCCAGTAACAGGCCCTGAGGACAAGGCACCAGAAAGAAAAGAATGTAAAGGTACACTTACAAACCCTTACAACGAAAAAAAGATAAGTATAATGATAAAGGTGTACAGGAGGTATAATGAAAACACAGAAGAAAATCCTTTAAAAAAATTTTTTTTTAATGTTTATTTATTTTTGAGAGAGAGAAAGAGACAAAGATCAGAGTGTCAGTGAGCAGGCCAGGGGCAAAGAGAGAGGGAGACACAGAGTGTGAAGCAGGCTCCAGGCTCTGAGCTGTGAGTACAGAGCCTGATTCGGGGCTCAAACTCACAAACCATGAGATCATGATCTGAGCTGAAATCAGTCGCTTAACTGACTGAGCCACCCAGGCATCCCAAGAAAATCCTTCTTAAAAGATATGATTCTTAAAACCACATGGATTAAGCTAACCAGTTTTAAAAATTAAAAATAAAAATATTTCTTTAAAAATAAGCCCTGAGAGATAGCACAGCTTGACAGTGAGTTTCTTAAAAAATAAAAGGGATCTACACTGAAGCTGGACCGCGCTCCAGTGTCTCGGCTGGTTTACGGTCATCGTACTGGGAATTGCTCTGATGAAGAGTAGGCTTCATGACAAACAGAAATACTAGACCTTCACAACTTCAGCAATAGCTATTTCAATCCCACGTATTAAAACTAAAAATTACTCCCAGAAAAATGAGATTCCCATTTTTGCTTACAAAATGCCACACACTAAACAGGGAGCAAAAAAGGTGTAGAATCTGTTGCCCTTGAGGATGCGAGGAAGGTTACAAAAGACAAGTTAAGTATTTGCCCAAATATTTAAGAGAAATAAAACTGAAAAAATATTACAAGCCTATTTATTATATATCACCTTATCTTCAAATTTTTAATTACACTATTATTTATTGAGCACTTAATCTTGCTAAGTGTTCTTTATCTCAGAGATCACTCCAATTAGTTTATAAAACAGACCAACTAGTACGTAAAAACACAGGTTTTAAAGTACCTAGCTCATTCATACTTAACTGAAAACAATGTATAACAGCATGTTCTACTGACATGGAAAATAAACCAATTTTGGTTTTAATATTCAAGTGAGAACACTTTCCAAGGAGGGGCACAAAGGGAGTACATTCGAAAGTCAGAAAATATTTACATCCCAAACGTAGCTGTACACTGGAATTGATGATATTCTAAATTTAAATTATTGCTTCAAAGATGAATTTCAATAATCACCCAGAGTTACTGTTGCAAAAGATAGCCCCCCAAAACAAGGGTGCAGAGCGGGAGATCAAAAAAGTGTGAGGGGGCGCCTGGGTGGCTCAGTAGGTTAGGCATCCCACTCTTGATTTCAGCTCAGGCATGATCTCACAATTTATTCCATGTTCTGGGCACTGACAGCACAGAACCTGCTTGGGATTCTCTCGCTGTCCCCCCCCTCCCCCCCCCGCTCACACTCTCTTTCTCTCTCAAAATAAATAAAATAAATAAACCTTAAGAAAAGAGAGGGAGAACATGAGAGCCAAATATGTTCCCTGAGGCTGAAAGGGAGGAGGTTAAAAAGTATGCTATTGGGAAAACTGAGAAAATCTTATATGGACTTGATATTAGATAACAATATTACATTAATGTAAGTTTCCTGAGTCTAATCATGGTTATGTTAAGAAGAGAAGTCTAGGGGCGCCTGGGTGGCGCAGTCAGTTAAGCGTCCGACTTCAGCCAGGTCACGATCTCGCGGTCCGTGGGTTCGTGCCCCGCGTCGGGCTCTGGGCTGATGGCTCGGAGCCTGGAGCCTGTTTCCGATTCTGTGTCTCCCTTTCTCTCTGCCCCTCCCCCGTTCATGCTCTGTCTCTCTCTGTCCCAAAAATAAATAAACGTTGAAAAAAAAAAAATTAAAAAAAAAGAAGAGAAGTCTAATATTCTGGGACAAAGTGCCATGATGCTTGAAACTAAAGTTCAAAGAGTTTAACAACAAGAATTTGTATATGCACACAGATTAAAAAAAGAGAAAATTCAGTAAAAATTGAAACCTGAAAGAACTAGGTGAAGGATATATGGGTGTGGATGTCTTGTAACTTTTCTGTACATTCAAAATATTTCAATGAAAAGACTTAAGGAAAAATATTGCTCATATACAATCCTGAAAATGATTACCATCTATGGGCTATTTCGGTAGGCCAATATCAATTATTTGGTCAACACCTAAAAAATCACATGGAATTAGCAATGTTTACTAGACACTGGGCTAAATAACAACCCTATAAAACATTAAACTATCAGCTTAACACAAATGACATGAAAAAGTACACCAAATACACTCATCTTTTGGCACCTATACTCAAAAAGAAAAGAAAATAGAATATGAGTTAAGTCATCATATACAGGGAGGTATCCACTTTCCTTCATAACACATTACTGAAAATCAAGTATGTGACAGCCTAAGAAATGTTCTAAGAAGGTTTTCCATACATGGGGACTTTAAAAACTAAGTACCAATGACACGTCTTTTAGATATAATTTTCATAAAATATTTAATATTTCACACAGGCCCTTTAATTTTGTTCTTTTTCTTCAGAAATGCAGAAGTTCAAAGACTATCTGCCTGACATCCAAACCTGATGATTACCTATTTCTTCTATGTATTTACTGGATTGCCGCAATGGAATAATTTATCAACTACTTTTTCAAAAAGTAGAGAAAATATAATCTTTAAATAATTGTACATTATATTATAAAAATGGTGACACTTCACTGAATCTTCAAAATTAAACCATTATGTGTTATCTTACTGTTTTTTGTAAGATGGCTCAAACTGTCTGTAACCCAAGGGGCAAAAATCAAATTTAGCCTATGAAAGACAGGTGAATGATATATAAGCAGTAGGACTGTTCAAAGGTTAACATAGGAAATTTAAAGAATCAGATGCCTGAAAATACTTTTCATGATGATTTCCTGATTTCTGAAAACACAAAATACTACTGGATTAACTCTATCTTACTATTTACTGGTGACACAGTCACCTGAGTTGCTTAGCTATCTGTGTTCTAAAAAGTGCATATGGATAAAAAAAACAAAAGCACTTTTAAAATTACTAAGCATGAGGGGACACCTGGGTAGCTCAGTCAGTTTAGTGTCCAACTCTTGGTTTCATCTCAGGTCATAATCTCACGGTCCACGGGTTCAAGACCCATGTTAGGTTCAGCAGTGACAGTACAGAGCCTGACAGGGATTCTCTCTCTCCTACCCTCTGCCATTCCCCCACACTTGCGCACACACAAGCACACACTCTCTGTCTCAAAAAAAATAAATAAATTTTATTTATAAATATAAATATAAATAAATATTTATATTTTAATAAATTATAATAAACATTTATAATTTATTTATAAATAAATTAATGAAATTTAAATAAACTTTAAATTTTACTAAGCATGAGGAATTTCAACCTAGGATTAAAAAGATTTAGAGATTCGGGAGGATGTAGGTAAGAAAATTCATTTCCACAGAAAGAAATCTTTAATACGTTTCCATTAGCCAGATGGTATCTAAATAAGATTACAAAAAATGGTCACATCTTGTTTCTACAATTTTTTAATGAACAATAATTTACTGCATTTGTATAATGATCTAAAGCATACTACACATGTGTAATAATTTCATACTTAAGACACCTGTGAGTCAAGTGATTTCAGAATTATCTTTATTATTTTAGACACAATGGAGCACCTGGGTGGCTCGACTAGTTAAACATCTGACTTCAGCTCAGATTATTATCTCACCACTCCATGAGTTATTATCTCACCACTCCATGAATTCAGGCCCCACATCAGACTCTGTGCTGACAGCTCAGAGCCTGGAGCCTGCTTCAGATTCTGTGTTTCCCTCTCTCTCTACCCCTCCCCTGAGCGCACGTGCACGCTCTCTCCCTCTCTAATAAACATTAAAAATATATATACACACACATAAGGACACAAACTTAAAGACCTTACCCAAACGACACAGGAGACACAAGCACTTGAAAGGAGTTTAAAAGAGTCTCAATTAACTATCTGGATGATCAAAATCTCTCAATATTCTTCATAAACAAGTATCAAAATGACATAACGTAACTAACGTAGTAAGAATCCCAAACACTAAGGAAATTGTAAGGTAACACTATTTTTAGACACTCGAACCGAGATCTGCTCAAAGTGATTAACAGTGACTCAAAACTGCCACTGGAGGTGCATGCTGACTGTGAAGGCTGGTAATACCACCAAGATGTATGTACTTTGACAAGTTCCTTAAAATCTCAACCTGTTCGAGATGATAAATTCCAACCCTCACCCAAAGGTTTTTGTGAGGATTAAATGAGAAATATATGCAAATTATTTAGCACGGAAGTTGGTAACTTAGTATTATTCAGTAATTGATAGCAATTCTCATCAATTACTTTAGAACAAGCTCAAGCAATGAGAACTCACTAAAAGACACAGGAACAAACTCCAAATCTGTGGACATGAATTCAGCTAGTAACTCACAGATTTACTTCAGTACTTTTCGAACAAGGATATGGTAATCTGGTAATACCACCAAGATGTATGTACTTTGTCAAGTTCCTTAAAATCTCAAACTGTTCGAGATGATAAATTCCAACCTTCACCCAAAGGTTCTTGTGAGGATTAAATGAGAAATATATGCAAATTATTTAGCACGGAAGTTGGTAACTTAGTATTATTCAGTAATTGACAGCAATTCTCATCAATTACTTTAGAACAAGCTCAAGCAATCAGAACTCACTAAAAGACACAGGAACAAACTCCAAATCTGGGGACATGAATTCAGTTATCTTTCCCTAGTAACTCACAGATTTACTTCAGTACTTTTCGAACAAGGATATGGAGTGGTGAACTAGGATATGAGAAACCACAAGGGTAATTAATTATAAGGTAGTTTCTTGGATTATTAGTTTTTCACACAAATTAGGAGACATAGGGAAGCTGAATAACTAACTTAACATTTAATATCTGTTGAGAACTTTACATATCATTTTTATATTAAGCTAAACATGGACATATGTGGACCAAACTGCAAAACACATTTAATTTTGAAGGTAAATATAACCGACCTCTGAAAATAGCTGCATTTGCTGACACACTTGTGGCTATGTCCTCAAACACACTGAATTTTAAGAAGTATTATTAAATATAAACTGGTTCTACTAAGACAGATAAAATTCTGCATTCTGAACCCCTCTACATTACTGATCCCATTTTAAAATTTTTTAATTTTAGATTTTAATATTCTCAAGTCATTTTTTTAAAATGCGAGTACACATGTCAATATAAGCGAAATCACAACCGTATAGGTTATAAGCATTTTAATGTGTTAACTTTTAAACAATGTAGGTAAAGCAAAGCTATTACTGCAATCCTACATATACTCCACTCACCTGACATTGAATGTTTTACAACAAAATTACCTGTATATTTACTCTTTCAATCACACAGGAAAGGACATGCAAAACATGCATCTTTGTGTCACATTCTGTAACTTGCTGCAGCAGCTGAAAAAGTAGTGTGAACATGGTTTCCAAATACTGCAGGTAAACAGAAAAAAAACAAAGGGTCATAAGAGAAATAGAAATATCTTCACAAACTGAAATAACAAATTTAATCATAATGTCAAAGCAATAAATAAGAGATCAGCAACCAGAACTCCAGCATTACCTAAAGAAAGCTGAAATTGTTCAAGTTGCCAACGTTTAGGAATCGCATTCTTTTTTTTTTGGGGGGGGGGGGTTCTTTTTTTTATTGTTCCTTAATTGGTCCATTTTAGAATTAAACTCATCCACAAAGTGAATCATGTTTTCAGTGGAAAATCGTGTCTAAATTTTGCGTTTAAATTTTATACCGCTAAACTAAGCTGCTAACGTTGTCTGGTCAGTGTCCTTGTGTGCCTGTTGCCAATCACAAGATACTTTGTTTTGCAAAGTCTACTCATTAAAACAAAAGAAATACCAATAAGTATACTCGCATACCAGCTCTCTGTTGTGGCCCTTAAGATATGCTGCATGGAGATCTCACTTTCCATAGATATATATCTGTTATTCAAACAATGACCGAATATTTATTATTAGGAAATAGGAAACAAATATCCATGTCTGGCTGTTAACGCCTAGATTACAAAATGACAGTAGGGATTAATAGGTCACAGAATGCCAGATACTTAAATAAAACACACATCTGATCTTTCAGATAGTTCATTTTTAAGCAGATTTCTAAAACATACTTATTTCATCCCAAAATATCTAATGATTCTTTTCCTAATGAAAATCCTCTCTACAAGTTTGTCCATGTACGACCTCCACAAGAAGTACACACAGACACTTTATCATGTAACTTTCTTCTTGCCTAGTCTTCCTAAGAATAAATACTACTGCCATAGTCTTATTAACATATTTAACAAGTGCTTACTGAGTACCTGTTAAGTGAAACACCATGTGGGCTTCTGGGAATTAAATGAAGAATAAAAAGATGACCCAGTAGGACTTGGTGTTCTACTATTCAACTAATTTACAATCTAATGCAGGATACAGGCATATATACACAAAGAAACAGTTGAGGACTATAAGTAACAGACACAGATAAAACGAAGTTACTAGATGTTTTGTAATTGGAAAAAAGGTAAAAAAAAAAAAAAAAAAATTTAACAGTCATCTCCAAAACAGTTAAGATAGCTAAAAAAAAAAAAAAAAAAAAAAAAAAAAAAAAAAAAAAGCAGACTATAAGTAAACAGTTATGAATTAAAAAAATACCAATAAAGGTAGTAAACTTCCAAAATCATCTTAATGTACTTTTAAATTTGGCTTCAATAAGTATCACATACATATAATTTCATTTATAAAATAACACTTAATTTGCAAAAGACATAGCAGATTGTGATCAATCTTAAAAATATTCTCACCGGCAGAAACTGATCTGTTCTAAATTCAAAATCATCAACAGGTAAAGAGCAGTTAAGGAATATTGAGAATGTATGAGGTTAATCAGAATAAAATAGATCTAAAACCCAAATATAATAATCAAAAACTATATTTTAAGCGATCTAACAAATTTCGCAAAAAAACAGTTACTTAAAAGTGTTAAAATTCTTCACAATGAAGTATTTTTTTATTTTAAAGATTTTATTAAGTAATCTCTACACCCAACATGGGACTGGAACTCACAACCCTGAGATCAAAAGTCACACACTCCACTGTCTGAGCCAGCCAGGCACCCCATCACAATGAAGTATTTTTAAATTCTTTTTTTCAACGTTTATTTATTTTTGGGACAGAGAGAGACAGAGGATGAACGGGGGAGGGGCAGAGAGAAAGGGAGACACAGAATCGGAAACAGGCTCCAGGCTCTGAGCCATCAGCCCAGAGCGTGACGCGGGGCTCGAACTCCCGGACCGCGAGATCGTGACCTGGCTGAAGTCGGACGCTTAACCGACTGCGCCACCCAGGCGCCCCTTTAAATTCTTTAAAGGATATTTAACTTCAGTGTTGTTGCTGTTTCGATACGGACCTAAAAGAAAGTACATCATGAGATTTTAATAATTCTGAAGCTACTAAATATCATTAATATCAAATGGCAGGAAATTTATTCCAAATCACTTTTACTTTTTGCTAATATTAAAGTCAGAGAGGTTATTAACATCTGGAAATAAAAGAATATTCCTCTTATTTTGCAACAAGACTTGAAAAAGTCAACTAGTGTCCATTCCCACCCTTCTCAGTTTCTCATAATTTGTTTCAACAGTCTTTAATCCAGGGGGTGCTTCCAGGAAAATGGATAATTTGCCCTAAGTGTGAGACAAGGGTGGGACTAAGAGAAGAATACAAAGGTGCTGCCACACAGGGAGAGAAGGCTGAGATCACAGATGAGAGACAGGCAAATGGGTGAGGCTGGTGAAGCTGGCAGATGTTTGGTGAAGAGGGAGGGAGGAGAAAATGGAAAGAGGAGGCAGAAGGAAGAACACACATTCCCATCTGCAACCACAATTACAGGAAATCCGTGAAATATCCAAAGATCTATTTTGAGATTTTCTAAATTCCAAAGTTCACAAATACACAAAGATTTGTACAGGTTCCTGACACTTCCAAATCTTAATTTGTGTGTCACCATGTTATCTGGGCAAATCACACCACAACAGCATCATCCCTATCGCTCTCTTTCAAGGGTTATCTGGGATTTGGTCAGCTAAACTGGCACAGGCTACGATACCCAGAGTTTCCACAAAACATAACATGAACTCAAGCCATGACTAAATTCTATATCTAGTTAAATGTTTCAACTAAAGGAAAGAAATTCACTCAATATGCATTATACTCCCCCAGATCAAATGACAATGTCAAAATGTCAGGCAACTATCAGAGATAGAGATGTACTCCACCCAGTGGCCTTGGATACTATAAAATTTATGGAGTCCTATTTGAGAAGTTGCTTTCTCCAGTAACTGCATCATATATTTTTTTAAAGATTTAGCCTTTTAAAAACTCAGTTATTCATTCATTTATTTATTAATTTTGGGGGAGGGGCACAAGTAAACAAGGGGCAGAGAGAGAGAGAGAGGGAGAGAGAGAGAGAGGGAGAGAGAGAGAGAGAGGATTCCATACAGGTTCCACATTGTCCACGTAGAACTCGAAGTGGCTCGAGCTTGCCCGAAATGTGGCTTGATTGAACTCATGGACCGTGAGATCATGACCGGAGCCAAAGTCAGATGCTTAATTGACTGAGCCACCCAGGTGCCCCCGGTGCACCTGTACTATCTCTACTCTGTTGCAGCCAGTCTTGTGACGATGTGGTTATAAGATTAGGAAGCCACATAGATAACCATACTTGCTCAGGATTAAATCTATCCCAACCCTGTAAAAGCACTCAAGCAAGATAATGTAGATTATGAAAGCCAGAGAACATTTAGATTCAGCAGTATCTATATAAGCACATGCACATATACACACATGAACACATCTATACGTATGTACATACTACGTGTTTGTATACTGCCGTGTACATAAATATGTGTATAAAGTATCCTCCCACATTAGCCAGCATTTCTCACAAGTTGAAATTAAAGATCTTATATACACTAGAAGGCCAAAGTGTGCAACCTTAACTTGGTACCTTACTAAACAAAGTCTTAAGAAGTATCAACAAAATATCGGTGGCAGGATCAAACAAGTGTAGAAGGTGTAAAACTGAGATGAAATCACCAGAAGATACACAGGAAAAGGGCAAAAGCTGAACCCACAGCAGCATTCCCTCTAAGAGTATTCCTTAGATATTAGTGTATGTGTCATCTTGGATAGTCACTATTCAAATGTATGTTTCAAGGGTTCTCCTCAGTCCTAATGCAAAGAGGACTACTGGAATATTTAGCCCAGTGTTTTCCAAACTTATCCAGCCATGAAACCCTTTTTCTCCAGTAATACTTATTGGGATGTAATTAATGTTCCACTCTTAAAGTGCAGAATTAAATTTCTCTTCTTTCTTTCTGAACAGATACCTCAAAAATGAGTAAAAGATTCAAAAATTTCTCGATTTCCCTAAGAAAACTTAAGTGAAATTTAATCCTTTTGTAACACTTTCATAAAACATTTAATGTCTTCTGTCTGATACCTCTGAGAAAAGAGCAAATGTTTCCAACTGGGCAAAGAAAAACTTAAACCTATAAATACTTTAAAGGTATTACAAAAGTAAACTCATTCCAGCAAACAGTAATCTAAACAGTTTTATTAATAAACTTTTAAGAATTTAGACATGGTAAAATATAACTGGATTCCCTTGTAACTTCCCATGTTTAAACTATTTAATAGTTACAGCATTATATTTAGAGTAAATTCCCAACTATTTACACAAAGTAGATAATGGCCAAGTGACAAATCCAAATAACAGTTCTATCTGCCTTTGGAATACACTGAGCTTCTACAATGGGTTTATTTATTTATTTTTAATTGGGAGAGCAATAGAGAAAGAGAGAATCTTAAGCAGGCTCCACACACAGTGCAGAGCCCAATCCGGGGCTTGATCCCACAACACTGGGTTCATGGCCTGAGCTGAAACCAAGAGCTGGATGCTCACCCGACTGAGCCACCCAGGAGCGCCAACAGGTTTACCTTTCTAATTATGTTTTCCTTCACAGAACATTATTTTTCTGACCCTCTCTGACTCTTCAAAAAAAAAAAAAAATATATTATGTCAACACTTATTATAAAGGAAACAATTCCAGTGGCTAAAACACACACACACACACACACACACACCCCACAGAAAGTAGCTTATGTACACACGTGGAAATGAGAAAAGGATGGCCCAAGCTTTTGCTGAAAAACAGGCTGATAGAATGGGTTCAAAAAATTTTTTAAAGGAGTATACTGAGAAATGATTAAACAAGACCTCAGCCTAATTCGGGGGCAGAAAAAAAAATCACGTATTTTTACATAAAAATAACTTGAAACTGAGGAAAAGACAACTAGACTCCATCTTTTCAAGACTATGCTAGGGTCCAGTCTAAGCCCAACACAAGGAATATGTACAGTAAGTCATGAATATATTCACTCAGGCATAAAATAAAGCCTCGCTTTGAGTGAGCCTCTCTTCTCTTCCTCTCTCTTCCTCTCTCTCTGACCCTCATGGGATTCTCTCTCTCCCTCTCTGCCCTTTGCCCACTTGTGCCCTCTCTGACTCTACCAAAAAAAAGAATATTATGTCAACACTTATTATAAAGGAAACAAATCCAAAGGCTAAAACACACACACACACACACACACACACCAAAAATCCCTTCAAAAATGAGAGACAAAGAAAAAATTAACAGTCAAGATGAACTAGATGGTGGTACCTCAAGTATGAGAATGACAAAATCCATACTGAATAAGAAAAAAAAATATGTAAGCTAAAAAAGAATCTTTAAAAAAAATGTCATCTGACTCTACAAAACTAGAGTTTAGTTAAATGTCTTTTCACTGACTCTTCATGATAAGGGTAAATAATAATCAAAGAACTTCCCTCCCTTAAATCAAACTGCTTGCCAAGGAATAACTACAAGAGTGAAAGGTTACCAACATACTAAATCTATAAACTATTCCTGAATATGAAGCTTAACATAAATTAAACTTATAAAAAATAGTCTTAAAACATTTAAGGAACATACCACTAAGTCTTGATCTTGAAGCAAGTTACAAATTGCCTCATATAACATGGGTCTTAAGTCAGACTTGAATTTCACAGAAATCCACTGACCGATGAGCCAAATCACCCTGCGTCGCAATGGCTTATATCTGAATAGGGAAAAATCATGAAATTAAAATGGTAAATATTCTACAAAGTATACTTCATTTAGTGTATTTTATCATTTAAATTTAAAATATAGTAAAGAAGCAATCTGTATTGTTTATATAAAAACTTAAAAGCCACTTCTAAATGTACCACAGTACACATACTCCAAAACCACCTAAGCTCTCAAATTTAAGTATCCTATCATAGAATGTGACTCATTATCAAAAATGATATTTTTAAAGTTGTAAAACATTTTCAATAACAATATACCCATTTCTTTCTCTATGATGGTCTTTTCTAAAGGAAATGAAGGCTATTTAAAGCAAGAAAAAAAGACCCACAAAGCTATAAACAATTATGTTTAAGAATTCTACCCATAAAGTCTCTGATACTATATAAATTTTAGTGGCGAGATGATAACTGTTTTGTGCATAAATGGAATAAGCTAATGAAGATTCCACATTTTTTAGAAAATTAGAAAATTTTAAGATGACCAAGCACATAGAAAGAACTGCTCATTAAAGTTGAAAAATAGTTGTTTAAGTATTCCCTGCCCTCAAAACGTTTACAACTCACCTAAAAGAATTAAAGAATGTAAAGCTATATACTAGGATTTCAGAAAAGGAAGAGAAAGGAGTGGGTGGGGGAAATGGGATTTGAATAGCCTTTAAGCAAAATAATACTTGGGTAGAAAATCGAGAAGATGCTATTTGAAGGGATGGGGACTGTTTAAACGAAGTCACAGAGGTGGAAGTAAACAAGACTTGTATACAGTGTAATGGAGGAACCATTGAACCATCAATTTTGAACTGAGATCTCCGAGACTGCTACAGTCAACATTCTATTCCGGATACAGAGAAGGAAGCTCAGAAAGTTCAAATTCTAAGTTCACTTAGATCACTGTCACTTCTGGGCAGAGTTAAAATTAGAAGTTAGTTTATTCCCCAAAATACGGTCCCTGGACCAGCAGCATCATTATCCTGGAAGCGTGACAGAATCATACAATCTGACCCAGACCCTAAAATATAACCTATATCAGGACGTGCATCTCAACAAGATCACCAACAGATTCATATGCATGTTTGAGAAATACTGGTCTAGATCAGCTCAGTCCAGAAGAAATATAATGTAAGCAAATATGTGATTTTACATTTTTTATTACCCCCATTAAAATAAGTAAAAAGTAAAATTTTCATATTTTTATGTATCTCAATATATCCAAAATACTATCACTTCAACATCAATACATATTTTACACTCCCCAGGTTTTCAATTTAAAGTCATTTCATCACTTTTATTAAATTCATTTCAACTACTCATTAGCCATATGTAGCAGGTACTGTACCTGACAACAGAGATCTAGAGTAAATAGCCTCTAGGCTTTAAGGAAAATCAAAGCACACATGTGTCTTTCTACTGAAGGCTTTCTCTAGATCAAAGGTTCACTAACTTCCTGTGGGCAGAGTCACAATACATCTTACTCACCACACACTTTACGGGGCATAGCAAATTCATGGCAAACTGAAAATATTCAATGACTGAATAAATGATTAACTCAACCAATAAATAGCAACTTATTGGGCAAAATTACTTTTTTAAAAAAATGTTTATTTCTAGAGAAAGAGAAAGCGAAAGCAGGAAAGGAGCAGAGAGAGAGGATAGACAGAATCCCAAGCAGGCTCCCTGCTGCCAGCACAGAGCCTGACTTGGGGCTTGGCTCGATCTCATGAACTGTGAGATCATGAGCTGAGCCAAAATCAACATGGAAGCCTTAACCGACTGAGCCACCCAGCCACCCATTGTCAAAATTACTTTTAAAGCATCTCCAACTCTACAGTTCTATGGCTCTCAAGATTTATAAAATGAGCCATACGTGGATGTCTTCTATTCATTCATTATTGTAGTTAAAAAACGCTATCTAAGACTACATGCGACACATTCTGATAGGCACCACATCTACAGAGATAAATCAGCAGAAGAAAAAAATTACAGAAACTATGAGAGTCCTTTTCCCTTACATTTTGGTCACTCGGTACCTAAAATCAAGTAGTCAAGTACTTAAATGCATATGAAACCTAAGAACTGGGAAAAGTCCTACTAAGTGTCAGAAAGGTCTGTCCTACTCAATGAGGCAACACAACACAGCCCTAAAGTGTGTCCAAATTCTTTCCGCCATGGCGTCCCTTCATCCTATCTACCCTCTTCCAGACTTGCAGCATGCTGTGTGGTCCCAAGACAGTCACTTTTCAGGGCTACCCCTTGTGCTAGACTACTACTCACACCAGGCTCAGCTCATGCTAAGTATCCCACTGGCTTTCTTTCGTACACATTTTCTTCCTACATTTCAGTGACCTCCATCTTCCCTTACCTTTGCATAAAATTTCCTCCTGCAAAGTATCTTATCTAACAACAAACATTTCATACTTGTGACAATTCACATGTGAAGTAAAATAACATAAGTGTCTTTATTTTTCTTAGCTGTAAACAGCACGTCTTTTTTTTATACTTGATACTACCAGCTAAGTCATACTATAACTTTTTAAAAATTTTATGCAATTTTAATGTCTTGTCTTCATCAGAAAATTAAAAAGTAAAATAAGTATATCATAAACACCAAATTTTATACTTGCCTATTGTGAATGACTTGTAATTCTGGAAGAAGTTGGTTTTTAAACCACTGATCAAAATCAACACTGTCAAACAGCTCATAAGCTGCTAATCCAACAGCATTATACACTACAAAGAAGATTTGAGAAAAAAAAATTTAATTTCAGATGCTGGGCCAAATGTTAAGTATCCTATGTAAGAAACTAATCCTTAGGAACTACTTTAAAACATGTAATATACTAATAAGGGAAAATTTACAATGTTAATCAGACAAATCACTTAAATAGCAATTTCAGAAAGATTAAAGTTTCTTTAGACACTTTTTCCTAAACAGCCCTTAGTGCTTTCAAACAGAAAATTGCATTCAATTAAAACTATTCAAATCAAATTATAAAAATTAAAATGCAACATCTGCTTCCAAAGGGTCACAGTATTTTATGATCTGGTCCCTACATACCTACCTCTCTCCATCCTCATCTCTCAGCACAAACCGTTAGGCTTTATGTTCCGTTCTGTTTAAACCAAAACACTCCTGGCTCAAAACTTAACTGCATTTGCTCCCTTTCTCTTCAAGTTTTTGTACATACTGCTCCTTCTGCCTGGAACTCTCTTCTCACACAGGCCCCCCCTCCCCTTGCTAACTCCCACTGATCCTGGTGTTCTCACATCACACTTCTTTAGGAGCCTTTCCCTAGGCATACCAACACTCCTTTTGGTTTTCCAATGTACTACTTAACTGCCACCTATTTTAGAATTAATCAACTCGTACTATGTTACAATCAACGGTCTGCTTATCTCCCCCACCACACAGTTCCTAAATTGTAGGTACCCCTGTATCCCAACCTCCCAGAGTAACACCTGCCACAAACTAGACATGCCAAATATTTATTACTCAAGAAATCAATGTTTTAAAATCACTTCAGTTTAACATACCAGCATCTTTGATTAATAGTGCATTCATGTCTTCCACATTAGTGGGCCCTGTAAAAATAAGTTTTAACAAGGGTAAATCAAACTAATTTTTAAAAGATATTTGATTTCAACTCAATTTGTTAGTTTCCCATTTCAGTTAAGTACAAAAAATTTCATGATATTAAATATACATGGACATGTAAATGGAAAGCCTAAGTTTTGTAATCATCATGGAGAACACAGGTACAAGATGTAAAACCTTATTACAATTTTAAAAATCATTATAACATATTTGAAAAATGTCATGTCAGCAACATTCTAGCAAAGTATATGCCACAAATTGCTAACTAGCACATAATACCTTATTATACCCTGATTAAAAAAAAAACACCTCTTAAAAGAAAGAATAAAAAGATGAATCCCACAAAAAATAAATTTTTAAAAAGAACAAGCACAAGGGTACCTGGGTGGCTCAGTGGTTAAGCATCTGACTTCAGCTTAGGTCATGATCTCGCGGTTTGTGGATTCGAGCCCCCTATCGGGCTCTGCTCACAGCTCAGACAGAACCTGGAGCCTGCTTCAGATTCTGTGACTCCCTCTCTCTCTGTCCCTCCCCCACCCATACTCTATGTGTCTCTCTCTCAAAAAAATAAACATTAAAAAAAAAAAAAAACCAAGCACAGGCTATTCACACAAGCATCTCGAAATATAAAAACTAAGTCAGATCATTACAGTGTATTAAAGGACGACAACACAACGAAAAGTGCCAACAGAAACAGGGAGCCATCATGTAAAGTGGAACCTTCAGAATAAAAAGGTGGCAGTCTCTGGGGCACCTGGGTGGCTCAGTCTTAAGGTTAAGCATCCAACTCGATTTCAGCTCAGGTCATGATCTCATGGTTTGTGAGTTGAAGCCCCACACTGAGCTCTGCACTGACAGCATGGCGCCCACTTGGAATTCTCTCTCTTCCCCTCGCTCTCCCTGCCCCTCCCCCACTCTCTCTCTCAAAATAAAAAAATAAGCATTAAAAAAATTTTTAAAAAGTTGGCAGTCTCACACTACTGTCCAGAAAGGAGTGTGTGATGGTTAAGCCATGAAAAGCAGTTTACTTAGTAAGTCTATTGCTCTAGGATACAAAGATTTTGAACAAGTTTATCAAAGCACTCTTCTGCTGTTAAGTATGAATTCTTAAGCTCACCAGGCTAATACGCTGGAATAAATACAGCCCTAAATAAGCAAACTGCTCCACAACTAGGAAGAAAACTAAACTTCGTAATCACTGAAAACCTTATAAGCACCCAACAACTTATCAGAGCATAACCTAAATAACTTACCCACTTTACTACAGTGGTTTAAACAAATAATAATAAATGCATGGGTGAAAATGGAAATGACATTCTCAACTCAACAAAAAAAAGTAACTTAAGCAGTCTAAATACCATCAAATTTAAGAATTTAGTTCATAACTATACCTCAGAAATCAATCCATACAAAAATACACTAACACACAAATTCAAAACCTGACTGATCGTGTTCTTGCTTAAATTATAAACCAAGGGAAAAAAACTATCTATTAGGTTTCTGAGAGAACAAAAGCATGAAAAGTGAGCTACTCTCGCACAACTACAAACAAGATCAGGCATCTCCTTCCCTATGGCAGCTTCTCTTGCTGTTATTTCCTTGTATCATCATCTACTCAATCCTTCATCCCTTACTATGTGATTCCTGCCCCAACAATTCAAATAATCTTTTGTCTCAGGGGATTTTACTGCCTTCTGTCTCTTCCATCACTGGACACTTCTAGTAACATGTTCTTCTACCCAGGATTCACCCCCATACCATTTCTTACATCTTTGCATTAGTTTTTTACCTGGCCTTTTTTGTAGGACCTTCACCTCTTCCTATGCTTAAAGGTGAAAATCTCAGCATTCAGTCTTTGAACTTGTTTTTCTTCTCCCAAGCCTCCTTCTACACACACTCCAAAAGGAAAACTCTATCTCCAACCACTACTAACAACTGTCTCCCTGTCATTAAGATTCTAAAGTTCAGGATCATGTCTGATCACTTTCCCTTGCTCAGTAGTCAATTAGGTGCCAAAAGTCAATCAACAAACAGTTACTGAGTGTACTAGGCACTGAGAATTATGTGTGAACAAGACAGATATGATCAGTGCCCTCGTCCCAGAATTTACTATATAGCAGAGAAGTCAAAAATGATAAATCGCAGTTAATAATTAAGTAATTAATTACTTGTGTAGCTGCAAACAAAGATCAAATAACAAAATTTTCGCATCATCATTCTCTCTTAAATCTGTTACCTTCTTTCCATTCCCACTACCACCATTCTGAGCCTAACATTTGTTACTCTCATCTTTTTCCCCCACTGCTTTCCAAAGCATGCTCCAGGTAGACTATTTCCCCATCCAATATACTTGACCATGTAAAGCACTATTTCGCTTCTGAGGCTAGTGTGTTTATGAGAACAAAATCCAACTATCACGTTCAATGCCTATCTCAAGGTTGCCTTCATCAGTTGCCCATTCTTGTTCTCTGTCCTGAAAGCCATCCAACAGAAAAGAACACATTGCGGGAGACATGGATGGCTCAATTGGTGAAGTGTCTGACTCCTGACTTCGGCTCAGGCCATGATCTCATGGTTTGTGGATTAGAGCCCCACAGATTCTCCCTCTCCCTCTCTGCCTCTCCCCTATTCTCTCTCTCTCTCTCTCTCTCAAAATGAATAAACTTTAAAAAAAAAAAAAAAAGAAAAGAAAAAACAAAAGAACACATTCGGGTCTTTCTCAGATTTCTATTACATGGTGTAGGAAATAGTGCATTGCACATAGCAGGCATTCAAACTATTTTAAGTCAACATGCATTAATAGAGAAAGTATCATAAAATATACCTCACCTTGAAGTGTTTGCATCATTTCTAGAAGTACAGGAGTAAGAGTCTGATTATATTCATGGAATATATCTATAAATAGTACTTCAGTGCAAGGCTAGAGAGGAAAAAAACCAAATTTCCAGTGACAACAATGGTATATTGTACTGATTAATTCTACAATAAAGAAAAGAATACCCATTCTTAAAATCCTAAAACTCCAAAAATGTTTCCAATTTCTGGTATCTTTACATAAAGTAGATTACAATGTTTATAAATATACTGCGGGGGAGGGTGGGGGGGAATCAAAATTTAATTTGATTCCTAACATAGAAAAAGTTTATTTCGCTATTTGAATCATTTAGCATTATGTATTCAAAAAGTAAAACTACAAAGAGAAAATAACATTTTTAATTAACAACTCCTTAAATTAAAAAAGCAATCTGAAGCCACATTCATTTGCAGATTCAGTGCTGTAACGGACTACCCAGGAATTAATACATTAAAAATTATAAATTTTCTTAGCAATGACATAACAAGTAACAACCACAACTCATGAGTTCAATTCACTACACAGAATAGTATTCCTTTTAACAGACACAAACAGTAACAGAAGTCAATGTTAAGTATATAAAAAGAATGATTCTCTTTATGGTTCTTAAAAGTACTGAATCAGTACATGTTTCATGATATAAAAGAATTACACATTTTGAAGGTACTATGCTTTATGTTTTAAAAGAAATCTTCTATACATACTGAAGCATGTACAGATGAAATGATATGTCACCTCAAATACTTGCTTTAAAATAATCCAACTAGGGTTGGGGGTTTACTTATATAAAACAAGACTAGCCATGAGTTGACGAATAAATGAAGTTTGGGATACAAAGTTTAAAAAAATTAAAGTGGTTAATTTTTTTTTAATTTTAAAGCACTAATAATTTTTTTATTAATAATCTCTCTGGTTTTCCATGTAACCTTATATAACTAAAAACATTTACATTTTTAGAAAAATTAAAAAATCATGTAAATTATATAAACACAAGTTTTCATTAAAAAAAGTAGTTCAAAGACTACATTTGATAAAATTTTCTCAAATGTTGGCCATACCAATAATGCATGCTTAGAAAGCGTTCTAAAAATAAAAACTGTGGGCTGGTCTCTGAGAATCACAAGAGGTGGTACAAGAAATAATGTATCAAAAAAAGCTTTAGAATTACTGAAATACTTAGGAGAGGAAAAAAAATCATTCCAGCCAAAAAGACAGTTTTCATTTTCAAAAACATTTGTTTCTTCAATGACAATTATTTTCCAATCAGCATGACTATAAAATAAAACTTCTGTTTCCAACCCCCAACTTAACAACAAAAAAATTCAGGTTAAAATTCATAATTTAATTAAGTACTTTCTTCTCAATTTGTCTAGTTTAATGCTTGGAATCATCAATAGAATATCATTCTCTACTAAGACTTACAGAAATATTAAGCATATTTTTGCACAATATTTTAAGCATGAAATTGACAATATTTTCTTGTCAATTTTTCTTTCCATCAATACTTACCCTCAAACTGTATTTCCAAGAATCTCCCCCTGTTTCTTCCACTGCTGTAATTAAAAATATGACCAATGATGCTCTCCAGAAATGCAATAATGATGTTTCCAAAATCAAGGTTTGGAATATCAAGATTTTAAATAACCAGTCTATTTCCATGAGTGGTTTTAAACATTTTACTGAAAGCAAATCCTTGGGAACACAACACCTTACACATATTTATTATACACTACAGATCATATCTGTGATTATCAGTGTCCTATCAAGTGCTGACATAGCATTTGCACTTTCATTAAAAATTCTGTATGCAGGAAAGCTCAATGTGTTTGTCACTTTCAAAGTATCTGATATCATCCGATTGTACATAGTATAAGCATTCAAAAACAGCTATAATCCTGGTATTATTTCATCTCAATAATTTTTTTCAATATGTTTTGTAAATTAAAATAGTCACATTTTCCAAAAATTCCCAATATTTAAAGAAAAATTTTCAAAAAATAAAATACTTTAGGGGACTTTTACAGATAGAGGAATTCAGTGATTCATATTACATTACTATATATAATACCCAAAGAAAGCAATATGAAACAGAAGATTTTAGCTAAGAGAAAAAGCAAAAACACAAAAGGATACACTGTAATGCTGTATTTTCTAAATGAAATAAATTTATTTTACATAACAAAAAGAGGGAGAGGTCTTCCAAAATGTTTAAGGCATTCTTAAATTATTAGGGAACATGAACAGAACTACATAAAGTCACCCAAAGGGATGAAAAAAGGTTAAAATTTAGCCTATGTTTGACCGTGGCCGAAGTAATTTGCACATAGGCACTTTACAGACACACACCAGGTACTTTATTTATTAGGCAGACGATTTCTTGATTTTCTGTAGGAATGACTCAGATACATTTATTCTACTACTAAAATTCAAACAGATAAAAAAGATCTCCTGTAAAAATATTTTAATCATCAAAAGACTCATTTTAAATTAAAATTTAAATAGGTGATCCATTCAGCAATTCAGAAATTTTCCAAATTTATTTTTGAAATAAAAATTTCTACAAATAAAGTATAAGACGGGATGAATCACACACCTGATAATAGAGACAGGAGGTGTTTTCGATTTAAACTACATGATATGTTCATAGGAACATCTAAAAATTTTAAAAGGTCTATCTCTGGAGAAAACTCCACATATTTGAAAAAATCATTTTCTGCTTTTGTTCCAATGGATAATAAAGAGAGGATATATTAATTTTTAAAAGCCATGACTCTCAGAACAAAAGTTTTATATTAAAAATACAGTGTTATATATATCATTCAAAGAGACGATATGTATTTAGGAAAGGGGAGAAAAGCCATGGGAAAACTGAAAAACTGATTCTTACTAAAGCCTTCTGGGTCTTCTTCCCACATTGTCAGTTCTTCCTCAGTTAACAGAAAATAATGAGAGACTAATCTTCTGCATATCTCTGTCAAAGTGGGATATGTAAAGAATGCCATCTTGATCTTATGTGCTTCTAAAGTTTCAGGACTGCTGTCTAGAAAACATAAAATTTCCAAGTTAATCATACAAACATTTTACCAAAATTGGATTATGTAACTTAAATGAATTAAAAATATACCCTTGGGGGAAAAGAGCAAGTGGTGTACGGATTTTCATTTTTATCAAGGGCAAATTTCAAAGACAGTTCTTATTTGCCCCCCACACACATCATCTTGTAGCCATCCTCTCACTACAGCCTGTACATTACCATGCTGTATTAACACACCACAGTGCAGTGACTTATATACATACATCTCTAAGATAATTTCTCATTCATTTTGTGTATACACACACAAATGAATTCCGTGTCTAGAAGTAAACTCACTTCATATCAAGTCAGAGAAAAATTTTAATTGTGCAAATAAGTACAACATTAACTGCAATGGTTACTGGAGTAATTAATCCTAAACTGGCAGGCTTCAAATGCTCTTTGCGCTACAAAAGATAGTTACTAAGTGCATTATATGGCCTTTAAAGCTGGCACTCACATATTAAAGTCTCTAACACTTATCTCTATTTCATGTGCCAGCAACATTTTGTTTTTCAGACTTAAATAAGATTTCAAAAAAATGCATAAAAATACCAATTATTTCACATATAAAATAAAGAAATAATAATCATTAAAAAAAAAAAAAAAAAAAAAAAAAAAAAAAAAAAAAAAAAAAAAAAACTACCAGTAAGGCATTACCTTCAAAATTTTTGGATGGCTTATAAGCGTAATTTTTTACAATCATCTTAATAAGGTTCATGCATTGAACAATGAATCGCTCAAATGTAACGCCTTCACCAACTTCTGTAAATACATAGCTTACAGAAAATTCCAGTGATCTCTGAATTAGAGGAGTAAATGAAAACGGATGCTGATCCAAGAAGTCCAAAAGCTATAAAGAAAAAAATTAAAGTGTATTTACCCCAAATTCATATAGGAATATAATTATCCATAAGTACATCTTATAACTTGCTAATATACACCTGTAAAGTTTTGAACCTTGGTCACGAGTCCACATACATACAGTTTTGCACGTAATACACATGTAATTGATTTCTTTGGGTATATCATATAATGTGGATTATGTCAAATTATATCTCATGACAGGTATTTCTATTACTTCTACTAGAGGGTCCAAAACAGACCCACTTCATAGTTAATTCAGTAAGAATGGGTAAATATGAAACAAAAATTCTAAGTATATAAAAGATAAGGCTTTAAAAAGTAGTAAGAGGGGCGCCTGGGTGGCTCAGTCACTTAAACGTCCGACTTCGGCTCAGGTCATGATCTCACCGTCCGTGGGTTTGAGCCCCGTGTCGGGCTCTGTACTGACAGATCAGAGCCTGGAGCCTGTTTCAGATTCTGTGTCTCCCTCTTTCTCTGACCCTCCCCTGTTCATGCTGTCTCAAAAATAAATAAATGTTAAAAAAAAAAAAATTAAAAAAAAAGTACTAAGAGCAAGAAAATAAAAAATTATCCTGCCTTTCCTGCATGAATTGTATTTCAACTTATCAAATAAGTTGATGAATCAGATCTCTTCTTCACAGAATTTCTGCTAATAAATGCAAATACAATAGAATGTCATCATTCTGTAATCCCTTACCAAAAAACAGATCTAGGCCATGATCATGAACAGCTTCTAAAATAATAGGAGAAAAGCTGCTGGGGAACTTTAAAGAGCTCCCTCATCATTTTAAACAACTCAACATTGTACCTCCTGATGTGATGCAATACAAGATATACACAGCACCACCCGTGGAGTATTCTTGCTGTCCTCGCCCTCCTCCATGAAATAAAGCTCAATATGATCAAGCCTCTACAAATTTACAAGAAACATTGGAGGAGGAGGAGTAGAGAGACAAAGGAACATGGTAAGTAACATATCAGGATACAAGAAGGCAAATTCAAAACACGAAAATCCTACAAGGAAATTACCTATTACCTCAACAAATAAATAGCAACGAAAAAAAAATGGAAAGAGAACTTGGACACTATCAAATCCTGATTCAAACAAAAGAACTATAAAAATTTTGAGAAAAACCAAAATAATGACTAAATATTTAGATGATAACAAAAAGTCATTCCTACTTCTTACATTGTGTTAGATTCTTTTTTTAAACCCCTTATCACTTAAAGACAAATATTCAAGTATTTACAGATAATACTAATATGATATCTGAGATCTGCTTTTAAGAAACCAGCAAGGAGGGGAGAGAGAAGTATAGAGATAAAACAGAACTAATCTTCAACAGAAGTTCATAACTCCTGAAGCTAAGTGATGACTTCATGGGGACTCAAAGTCACTCAATTCTACTTGGAGGTATGTTTGTAAGTTCCAAATTTTAAGGCTTTAATCAAGTCAGACATTATAAATATGAAAACTTTATAAATAAAATTATTCATCAACACCACACAGCCCCACTAATCACATGATGTCATTTTACTTTGCTTTGTATTTTTTTGTTTTTAACTTAAAATACCTGAGTCAATTTTATACTGGATCTTGGAAGATTAGGTGGACTTTTGCTGTTGAGGCTAGTTAGAACATAACTTGGAAACAAGGAGAACTGAAACCAAAGGTAACTGCTACTTAACCACAGCAATAAGAACAGCTCATTTCTACTTCTTTTCTCCCCTCCCAGGGAACAGACAACTTAACCCTATTAACAAAACTTAATGAAAGAGGGAAAACAGGCTACAAATTTACATACTGCTGTCTTCAACAACCTGTTTTAGTTCAATGCAGTTCTCAAACCAGGTCTTCCTGATGGCTACAACCCAACTATATATACTTCTCCCAACCATCCTCAGCCCAAAATTTCAGAAACGTCAGTTTCTATAAAATTTAGTTTTATCAGAAATTTAGACACATTGCCTAGCACAGTGTACTCATATAATTCTATTCAAAAGGTGTTTGATATTAATGATGACAATGTCTTTATGAATATAATAACTTCCTGATAATATACTGCCTGCTATATATGATCTATTTCCTGATTAGCTACACTGTTATCTTCTTTATCTCTGCTTTCATCCAGTAGGCTTGAGAATAATAAGCTTCAGAAGACTCAACCTCTCTACTATTTATTAGGTTTGTGGTTATGTTTTATTTTTTTTCATCAAAGTGACTTATACTGATATAGCATATAAAACTTAATTATTACATTCATTCTAAATACTTCCAAGATACCATTTTTTTAGCTTTGCTGTAGTCAGAAAATAAGGTACTTTACACTAAAGTGAGAATGCATGCTTATGTCATTTTCCTTATCAAATCTGAGTTATGTATATTTTATGTAAGAAAACATACTTAAGGTAAAAAGAAAACTTACCACTTTAGTAAAAAGAATGATGGTCTTTTCCAGTCTGTCTCTACATACATTATCTGTACCTATACTTCTACCTGTTAAAAATACAATCCAAATATTAGTACAAGTTTATAATATTCCATAAATTCACAATCAAAACAATGGCAAAACTTGCTGGAAAAATACGGTCAGGCATGTTTTCACCTATTTTGCATTATAAATCCTATACTGTGCTTTCCCAACTCTAAAAAATTAATCATAAAACTAAAGTTCTTAAAAAGCGTTACCAATATTTATAGTTTTCACACACAGTAATTCATAGTGCCATGTTCACAAAATTAATCCTAAAATACAAACTAAGTCCCTGTTAAAGGAAAAGGATCGTAGCAATTTTAATCTGTGAATAGCTTATCATATTCTCAATTTTTTTTTTTTAATTTTTTTTTTTCAATGTTTATTTATTTTTGGGACAGAGAGAGACAGAGCATGAACGGGGGAGGGGCAGAGAGAGAGGGAGACACAGAATCGGAAACAGGCTCCAGGCTCTGAGCCATCCGCCCAGAGCCTGACACGGGGCTCGAACTCACGGACCGCGAGATCGTGACCTGGCTGAAGTCGGACGCTTAACCGACTGCGCCACCCAGGCGCCCCCATATTCTCAAATTTTAAATTAGTTATAGTTGAAATATTTTTCAAGCAAAGTAAAAACGAAGTACTGAAAGATTAAAATACTCATTATTTTTCCTAGATCTTCTGACAATTTTCTTTGGCTAATTTGCCTGGCATAATTAATTTTGTACATTCAGAACACTGTCCACTAGCCCATTAACTGCTCTATAAACAAATTCTTTCTATTCATCTCATCATTTACGTTAGTCTCTCCTGGGAAGACTCCTACTCTTCCCTCTGCATCTCCACAAGGTAACCAAAGAAAATGACCACTTTTATTAAAATGAATTACTTTATGTAAGTTGTCTTAATCATCTTCGCATGCACAATACCCAGAATAGTGTCTAGAAATAGACTCAACAATGCTTTTGCTGAAAATGACTGACATCAAATAATCAACAACTCCCTAAAAGTGAGTACACTAAAATATCTTCTCAGCCTATTAAGTCTCCAAATACATACTTATATACAGGATGTACACATGTGTATGTGGGCATGCAAGCATATGGGTATGTATTTTGTGTCTGTAGGTGTGTTTATCCTCAACAAAGGTGTTCACAACCACAAGGAGGAGAAAAGGTTAACAATAAGACCACAGTATAACACAACACAAATATAGATGTTAAATTCTCTTGTGTGGGGTAGTGAATTAGAGACGGTCCTAAAGAGAAGCCAATGAAAATTCTGAACCAGAGATCTGCAAAATTAAAGTACCACTTAAGGTATTAATTTATATAATACATATATGTAAAATGTATTGAAAGAAACAAAACTGGGTGACTCACTCGGTTTAGCGTCTAACTTCAGTTCAGGTCATTATGTAGCAGTTTGTGAGTTTGAGCCCCATATTGAACTCAATGCTATTAGCACAGAGCCCACTTCAGATCCTCTGTCCCGCTCTCTCTGCCCCTCCCCAGCTCACACTCACTCATTCTCTCTCAAAAATAATTGAACATTAAGAAAAAATTAAAAAAAAAAAATCTATACAAAGTCTAAACAGCACGTGGCAGAGGAGCTACATTTAATAAGTATTTGTTAAATATATGACTGTTGTACGTTTGCATGGAAAAGAGCAATAGCAGTAAAAGCATCTACAAAGAATGGACACAAAACAGAATTTTAAACAAGTTTCCTCAATACTCAGGACAAGACAGATGTATCAAGACAAAGATGAGCTCCAATTTAACTTCAGAGAATTAACCATCAAGACACAAGATTTTAGCCTCTCTCCAGATTTTCTAGCGCGGAGCAGAAGCAATCCATGAATAAAGATTCTACAAGTAAAATCTACTGTCAAAGAAGTACTTACTGCATTCCAGAAATTGTTTCAGACGGTCAAATATTCCATGTAAAAAACCCTAGGAAAGATTTTTTTAATGTCTCAATTTATTGTTGTAAACATCTCCCTTATACTTTTTACAAAACTATTAACATTTATCTTATCATTTTAATAAGTTAAAATTATATAAAGTAAAAAACATTCTATTATTATAAACAAACCTTTCAAAGAAGATAGAACATTTCATCTCTCAAAGTGTCATTTCAGTTACCTAAATCACTTTACAATAAAACATTATTTATTGAGTATTTTATTTCTGAGTAATCTCTATTCTCCTGTTTTTCCATCTTCACAGCTCATATAATCCCGACATACTGTTTGTGTAATATGTGCCTCCTCCCACTACAATGTTCACTCTCTGAGAACTGGAACTTGTCTGTGTTTATTGCTCTACCCCAGAAACCAGAAGCAGTATTCAGGAACAGTAAGTACGCAGTATGTGGATAAATGGTACCAATTACTGAAAGGAGAGGTTCTGAAGTTCAAGTATTAAATATTATATTTAATATATAGTTAAATTATTAATTAAATTATATAATAATTAAATATATTAGCTTTCAGGTATAAGACAAGTGTCACCATTTGTCATCTGGTAAAAATCTAAACAACCCTTATTTGTTAATAGGTATTTAAGAAATATTATAAAAATTTTACAGATATAAAGGGATAGTAAAAAACAACTTCATTAAAATTTTTAAGGGGCGCCCGGGTGGCTCAGTCGATTAAGCAACTGACTTCAGCTCAGGTCATGATCTCGCAGACTATGAGTTGGAGCCCCACGTAGGGTTCTGTGCTGACAGCCTGGAGCCTGCTTCAGATTCTGTCTCCCTCTCCCTCTGCCCCCCTCTCCCGCCCGACTCTCTCAAAAATGAATAAACAGTTTTGTTTTTTTTTTTAATTTTTAAGAATTTAAAAATCTCAGACTTTCTGGCTCAATAGATTTTGGTGTATAAACATCATACAAGATGTCACATGTTCTTTCAACAAACAGGATGGTCCACCTTTTTGTCACAAAATAACCACATGATAAAGGCCTTAATTACAAATGACTAGAATAGAATGTTATTTCCTCTTTGTTCTTAGAGATATATTCTTCATTCACTCATTCTTGAGTTTGAGACCATTTAACTACGATATCATCATCTGAAGACTGAGAAAGAGATTTCACTTGGAGAATTTCACCGTCACACTTAGGGTCTAGAATGCTGCTCTCTGTCTGTCTGAAAGCATCCATCTTCTGACTCATGTAAAAATTATGAAACCTCTTTCTCTTGTCAATTTTCTTCTCTGCCACGTGGACAGGAAATGAATTTTGAATTCTCAATGTGTTACACAAAAGCTGAAGGTACAATAAAAAGACAGTGCTTCCAGTCTTCTTTTATTCCTTCTTGAAAGATGGAATGCAATGCACAACACAGTAAGAAAACTACAGGATGACAATTTCACTACCGCTCCATCCTCTGGCAATTTCATCATTCTTCCACTTTCACAGTATTTCAATCTTTTTAACCACAATGGAGAGTAATTGAAAAATATTAGGTAAAAAATAATAATAATAAATCCTAAGATGATAAAAGAGCAAAAGGTTTCATTATAGGAAGAATAAGATCATCGAGATTCCATACACATTTTAAATTTATACAGTAGTCCAATGACCTAATGTTTCTACTATATAATATATTCATTCATTTTAAAAATAACTATTGAGCTTTTATTACTGGCAGAGACTGTTCCAAGCTTTGGGATGAATAGTGAGTGAAATATATATGTACACATACCCATATCCATCCAAGTGTTCATTCCAGCATCATTTACCAACAATTAAAAACTGGAAACAACCTACATATCCATCAACAGATAAGTGGGCAAGTAATTTACAGGAATCCTATATTAATGTTATAATTTAAAGAAAAAATTAGCTCGCTGATAGTAAATGCATGGATTCACCAAAGAATCATTAAAAACATAACATATAATATTACTGACATAAGAAAACTATCATACTAAGTATAGGAAAAAGCAAGTGAAGAAACAGCATATGGGTACCTTTTACAGAATACTGAGGAAGAGAGAAAAGCATAAAATGTCTTAACATATACTTACAAATTTTACCAAGATCTCTGATAGCAAGTTTTCAAATGATTATTTCCTTACTTTAAAAAAAGCATGTAAACCCTTTTACAGAACAAAATAGCACACTGAATGATTCAAATTACCAGCTTTTAAATTCTTTTAACAGTAAAATCATTATTGCAATCTAAATCTGACATACAAAACATACTAAAGATTTAAAACAAACAAACAAGTAACTCGGGTCAAATAGGGTAGGTCAGACCCAAAGACCAATTCGATGTACTTTTTTCAAACTTCCTGTTCAGTACCCCCAAAGCAATCCACAGAAAGCAACATTTTAGCAAACTTGAACTTTCCTGAGAAAACTAACATAGATCTGGGTAAATATATAATATAGTATCATTTTGTTTTGGGATAAACATATACAGCTATATATTTTTGTATACAGAAAAGCAGATGATGCTATACCAACCATGAATATAATCACAAATGTTGGCTTATCAAGAGGGCTTTCCCTTCTTGGATATATTTTTCAGTTGACTGCAAAGAGCACGGATGTATGTTATGATTGAAGAAAAAAATTCATTTTAAATATATAACATCAGACGAAGAGAAATATCAAGGATATAAATATCCACAATGGAACTGGAAATTTGTTAATAGCATTCAAATTCAAGAGGTTCACCCAAATTCAAATTGAAATGAACACTCTCAATGTATCATCATGGCCCTTGAGAACTGTCCTAGGCCTATTTCCTTCTCTTCACAAAGGAGCTGCTTTGATATACTGAAAAAAGGCCACAAGTCAAAAAAGGTATAGTGTAACATATACAAATGGTAAACGGTCACTTTATAAAAACTTACAAATCAATGCCAAGTAAAAAGAATAAGCTTTAAAACACTGAGGAAAATACCAAGCACTTTCCCAAAGCCACAATCAGCAACTTCTTTCACTTACCATCACCTCCATATTCTTATGAGGTTCCACAAATCCATTAACAGTTAATTTACGCAGCACTGAAAAGTAAAATTGAGCTTTACTGCATCTGATTTTCTCACATTTTATCCTATTAAAATCATAATCATAATAAAGACTCAGAATCAAAAAGCCTCATTAAGACTGGGGGTTAATCTAACTTAATCCTTTCATATAATAGATAAAGAAAAATAATCCCTGGTCACTGGTTCATTTCCAGGTAGGCAAGCTGGAATGACAGCCAAGTTTTTTTTAACTCAAAAGCTGAGTTCTTCTCACTTATCTTAACTACTTAAGTTTCTAAAACTATATTGCAACATTTAACTTCTCTAATTGTAAGTATTTCTCACCTGAAATAACCCCTAGAAGTTGAAACTGAGATGGTCATCTCTATTCTGTAACCTTGAAAATAGGTCTCAACAGTGACCAAAATGCTTCATTTAGTTTTAGGCTACATTAATGAAAATACCATATCACCTAAAAGCGATATAAAAACTCAACTATTTCTAAATCCGGAATAGACTACAGTGCTCAAGTATAAGCATCACATTTTATGTGTAACTGGTGTACACAAGGAGGCGAGCAGGATAAACAAATGGAAGTCAGATCTAGATGTAAAAAGCTAGCTCCAAGGTCTACCACTACATTCTTTTGAACAACTTTTCTAGATCTCACATTGCTGGTCTGTAAACTGGTTAACAAGTCCTACTTCACAGCGTTATTAAAGGATTCAAGAGTAAAACACTCAGCACAAATCAGTAACACAAAGATGATGGCAGCATGAGACTACAAAATTCTAAACCACATCATTTTAGGAAAACACAGACACCACTGTGATCTTTACAACTCAGAGTTAGTGTTCATGAGGTGCAGCCTAAAGGCAGTATATTAAAAATTGGTTTAGAATTCAACTCTCTATAGAATCATCAGTTTCACACATCCAATTATATACGACTCAAAAGTTACAACATCACAAAAGGAGAAAATAGAATTCAAAATGAGTCCCTTATTCTGCATTCACTCGTTCCCACAAAAGAACTAGGTCCACATCACCTGAGAAGGTCCTCTCTTCTCCAGTCGTCACCTCGTTAACTTCAATTTGCCCTAGGATGATTCTTTCTCAAGGAAGTCCTTTCTGACCATGTTGCCAGTTATCATGACATTGTAAGACCACTGTCGCGAGTGACTTTACACGTATTTGTATGAGCATTTTATCATGCCTGTCTACCCAGTGTCAAACACCTAATTTATTTATTGAATGAAATAATGAATATATGCATGTCTAAAAGATACTAAATGCACACAGTATAAATTCAGATTATATATAACAAAAACTGCAGTCTTAAGCATTGCTCAAGGCACAGAAATTTACAGCTAGGCAGAACAAATATTTTAAAGGAAAATACTATGGGATTGTAACAGGTTAGGATACCTTAAAAATGCTAAGGTGTATATCTAAGACCCTGAGATAGAGAAGTAATGAAAAGGTAAAAAGCAGGCTAAGAGAGAGTAGGGCTGCATCCCTTTTGTCAGAAGTACACTTTGAAATCACTAAGGCAAGAAAATCAACTGAAAGCACTCATGAAAATTCCTTAATCATCAAACAGAAAACTGACACAAGTTTTGTATTTATGACCTTATACCAGTTTCTCTAGTTCTTTCTGGATAAATGTTTCTCTCTACATCCTTTTAATTTCTTCTCCAGAATGGTCACAAAACCATCTCCACTCACTTGTGTAATGAACCACCAGTACAATGAACTGTACTTGTCAATAGTCCCTTAAAATATTCCCACTTTTGTCTACAAAGTTCACCAGAATGTGCCAACAGCCTGAAGTCTGTACATCCACTGCCTAGTTAACATACGTGATGCAGGAGAACAGTACTAAGAGTGTACAACAGCATCCTAAGGTACTAAGGGAGTAGGATAAAAGGGTTTACAAGTAAAGCAAAAGGATTCGAAATGAGCCACAGTAAGAGAACTAAAGGCAGCCTGAAATCAAACTAAAAGAAGAGCTCAAACTAAAAGAGCGTAAGCAGAAGAGGAGAGACTGGAAGACAGAGAAAGAGCCAAAACAGTGTTTTACCAAGGAAAAGAATCTCAGAAAACCTTCATCAAGATAAATAGCTCAAGGGCAAGTAAAATGAAGATTTATGCTAAGAGAATACCTACAAGCAAAGCACAGGATAACCGAGGGTAACTGATGACACACCGTCAAGCACCATTGAAAACCCAGGTGGGCCTGAGATCAAACAAGAAAGACAGAAGCTGAGTTCTCAGGGCAAACAGAGCTGGGAGATAGCACTCAACTAATGCTTGAAGTTTAGTGAAGTTAACATGACAATGATAAGGGCAGAATGGGTTTCTACCCAGAAAGAGAAGTTTAAAGCAGAAGCAAAAAGAAGTACAATTATTTGGAAGGTATGTGTCCAGAGCCCTGAGACCTCAGTAACATGAATATAATAGAAAACTATCCCACACTTTTACAAATTAGAGAGAAAGCTATTCTCACAAAAGAAAAACCAACCACAAATAACACCTTGTCTGTGAGGGAGAAATTAACCCCTCATTCTCCCAGGGCAAATGGGAGCAGAAAATCCACCACAGGAACTATTGGTGACTCTTTTGAGATAGGTCATTTCCGAAATGAACATGTCAAATTGAACAGTACCTTTCAATGACAGCAGAGTTCGTTCTAATGAACTTAGAACTGCAGCTTCATTCCCAGAAGAAACTTGTTGAAGGAATGTGTCTGTATGGTGATTCCACAGAGAGCAGGCAAAATTATAAATTCCAGAAGCTAACTGCAAAGAAATATCAACAAATTCACAAAAAACATTGATTTCAGTAACCAATTAGCTCTATATAGTAATACATTTCAGTTTTAACCCTGAACATACATTTTCAGTAAGATGTGAAACAGTTAAGTCATTTATCACATTTCAAACTGTATTAAGCCAAACACACAGCAGCAAGGACCATTTGCTGGCTGCTGGTATGAACACACATACACACACCTTAACAGACTCATTCTTCTCAAACCACTAGTCTCATGCCTGCATTGCAGCCTGACATTTTCTTTTTTTCTGGCTGGCTCGGTTGGAAGAGCATGCAACTCTGATCTCAGGGCCATGAGTTCAAGCCCCACAATGGGTATCCAGATTAGTTAAATAATTTAAAAAAAACTTTAAAACACTGACAGACTATCAGTGAGAACAGCAGATAAAACAATATACTAAGAAATACAAAAGATTTCGGTGTCCTGCCAGTTCTACCCATGTGGTTTGGGGGCATTTAAAAGCCAGGAACATACAAGCCACAATGCTTGTCATGCTACTTTCTGATTTTGTACTGGTATTTAAAACATCTGACTCACAGTGGGATGCAGTTGGCCTCTGCCTCCCAAGTTAAGGCAGAACCATTTCTAATGGTATCCTGTATTATTTTTTTTTTCCAGAAGGTCTAAGAGTCTTTTTCCAGGAGGCCATTTACTTTAAACAAAAGTGAGATGAAAGTACTTATGACTAGTTATCATTAGCACACTTCGGAAAAGTTTTTCTTAATCCAGACAAGTCTATCATTTCCACTCAATACTGGATTTGTGATAAGATTAGGCATCAGAAACCAGTCAGGAATGTAATCCTGCAAACAAAATAATACTTCCATGAAAAAAACATTCCACTTCTGTTATTTTAATTCAGTAATTTTTTTATTTTATTTATTTATTTTTGGAGAGCGAGCGAGCATGTGGGCATGCAAGCAGGGGAGGGGCAGAAAGAGGAGAGACAGAATCCCAAGCAGGCTCCACACTAAGCACAGAGCACAACATGGGGCTTGATCCACAACCCTGAGATCACGATCTGAGCTGATTCAGAGGTGGACACTTAACCAAGTGAGCCACCCAGGTGCTCCTTAATTCAGTCATTTTAATGACCTGCGTGTGCTTACAGGTATAGGCAAAGAGCTCTGTCAAATCTCCCTAGTGATTTTGCATGTACCAACAAAGGCCACACAAAGGCTTGAACCCCAAAGGGGGTTATCAGCACAACATATTACAATCCTCCTGAAAAACAAGAAATGGAAGGCTTATAAGGAACTGCTACAAGAGCATCTCCTGCTCACCTCTCTATCTCTTCAGTTAAGCTGTCATAAAACTGCTTCTCACCTCCTAGGTTCTGTTAAGATGTAAAGTTTTCTAACCCATTTCCCTCAAACAGAGCTGTAGAAAATGAAACTAGTTATGGTCTAGAACTGGCTCCTCAGCAATGGTGCATCCCACAATTTGCACCTGAGTCATTCGCCCATATTGCTTTGGTCATTCTTTTTGGTGTGTATCAAAAGCCACAGGGAGTTGGTGGTACCAATCGCTGACTCCTTTTCTCTAAGTAACAAACTGACTGAATCTAAAAGAGGTCCTATCTTCACCAACTGATCAGTCAGGGCTAGCAGTTGGCCCACCCTTGCCTTGTGCACATGCTCGACAACAGGTACGACGACTACTTATTAAATAACTTCAACATATTCTCAAGTAATCAAAATATTTAATCCCAATATTTCTTGATCGCCAAAATATAGTAGTGATAATTACCTCACCGTATTACAGCACAAGCAGCAGTATCATAAAAAAATTAAGGATCTAAAACTGACATCATCTCATGAAACACTGCGATGACAGAGAAGTAAATAATCAGAAGGGATATAAGCTGAAAACCAAAATCAAAAATTTGTAAGATTTTCTAACTATAATGAACTTCAGTATTTTTCTTAGTAAATCGAATCCTTTCTGAAAACATGAGGCTAAAATATATGCCTAAGAATCAGAAAATACATCTTTTTGATTTTTATTACACTTCTGTGTAATTGTAAGTTAGAGCATCATATACTTTTCCAAACATATAAATCATCAAAGTATTTATCTGCCAGAATAAAGTGAAAGAAAACAAAGAGATTTAGAGATAGGAAAAGGGTAGGAATTGTACATAGATCTGAAAGTAAAGCTTTAAGGTAAATTTCTTATGGTAGCAAATATTTCAACCAGGTTAACTGAAGTCTATAGCCTTGTCTATAATTTTTACATCCGTTTTATACTCTCTTTAGTAAATAAAATCTAAGGGGTGCCTTACCCAAATTCCACATACGAAAACAGTAGCATTCTAAACCAACCTCTTGCTTACAAATTATTTTCTAGTCTCCTTCACATCTCTATTTTTTTTGTTTGTTTAACATTTATTTATTTTTGAGAGAGAGAGACAGAGCATGAGTGGGGAAGGAGTACAGAGAGAGGGAGACACAGCATCTGAAGCAGGCTGGCTCCAGATGCTGTGTCTCCCTATCTGTTCCTCCCCTGCTCACACTGCCTCTTTCCCTCCCAAAAATAGGGATTAAAACAAAAAAAAATTTTAACGTGCAGGACTGTCTATAATACAAAAAAAATTTTCTATGACTGTTATGTGAGGTCACTTGAACTCTTTTCTGTTTCATAAAAAACAAGTATTTATGCAGATCATGTTAACTATATGATAAAAATAACAAAGCTAACATTATAACTTAGACATTCAGACATTTCAACATTCAGACATTTACTGAACCCTACTCTGCACTAGGCAATGCTCTTGGTTTACCTTCATCACCTTATTTAACCATCACCTCCTACAAAGTAGGTATTATCCCCATTTTACAATAAGAAAACTGAGGTACAAAAAGATGAAGCAAACTTGCACAAGAGCAAAGAGCATAAATAATTAAGAGGAAGAGGAAGGAATGAAACCAAAGAAGGTGCTCAGAGCTTACATTTTTAATAGCTATGTTCTAATATCTCTTAATACCCATATAGGCAGAGTCAATATAGTAAATCCTATTTTCCAAAAGTTAGATAACAATTCAATAATGGTAGAATTTTATTTTCATAACAAAAAGGAAAAATTCCCCAAATTCACTAAGATCAATAATACTCTTAATATGGATACAATAAATTGTGTGAATCAGAATCTCACCTAAGGTTCTTCTACAAATCTCACCCTTTCTACACCAGTCAACAGAAAAACATGTACTTTTGTTCCATTATTTACATGGAATACCGAATACAAACTGAACATTCTTCTTATATAATTTTTATATACATATAAAATTTGGAACAAGTTCCATTCATTAATCCTAAGAGTCATGGGGCCTTCTAATTCTCAATGCCCTCCTCAAACAGTACATGCCAGACTCCAGAAAGAAAATAGTAATGAACCATTCCCTAGTTCCTTAAAAATAAGCTTAAACTTGAGCAAAAAAGTTGACCAAATGGAGTCTGACACCAGCTCAAGAAAAAAATATATAACGAAAGGCACCTGGGTGGCTCAGTCATTTAAGCGTCCGACTCTTGATTTGGGTTCAGGTCATGATCTCAGTTCATGGGATCAAGCCCTGCATCAGGTTCTGTGATAACAGCAAGGAGCTGGCTTGAGATCCTCTCTCCCTCTCTCTCTGCCCCTTCCTGGCTCAAACGCTTGCACTGTCCCTCTCTCTCAAAATAAACAAACATATATCATATATATATGATAACCTGTCAGCCTAAACCATCAGCATATTTTCAAACTGTGACCCTATTCGAGAGGTACACTGCTTGGGAGTGCATCAAATGGAACACAACCCAAGGAAGTGTTGAAAGTAACGAATTCTGTATTACTTGTTACAAGTAAGGAGACAGGGAGATGGCTCTCAAAAACTCTGTCCCTGTGGGGTTAGTGCAGGAAGCCTTTGTTCAGTGTATCAAGGGCAGTGGCAGGGAGCTCCCATACGCACCTTGGTTCAAGTACACATGCACAGCATGTCAACATGCTTGCTAGTGCATATATCCCATGTTCAAAAAATGGGAGAAAACTCTGCCCATAGTAGACCTTAGTATTATAATGAACTAAATGTAACTTCAAGACAACGCCGAAGGGCTCTGTGCAGGTCCTCAGCTCCAACCCAGCTCAAACTGACTCATGTAAGGGGCTATCAGGTGAGATACACAAAGCAAGGAGCTCTCAGATGCAACACCTAGTTGGGAGTCTCCTTGGCTAGAACTGCTGGTTTGGCAAAACAAAACACATTTCTTCCCTGCTTTTGTCCCTTCCCCTCCTTCCTTCTACTGTTAACTTTTAGCCCTCTTTGAGTAACTTCTCCTTGCATCTTAGCTAACAAAAACACGTCAGATTTATTTTTAAAGGTGCTTTATAAGAACAATAGCAAAATGGCATAACTATTTTACTGTTATAATTTTTTTCAGGCACTACTTCTTATTACCAGGAGAATATCCCTTTACAGAATGCTACCACCTGCATATGCACAATGTACATTACAATATACATACCAAACATAAAATCCTCCCCACTCACACCCAACACAAAAAACAAAATATACCACAGAACAACTGTGAATACTGAACCAAAGGTTCTCAATGTCAGAAAAGTAATCAAAAGGAAGTATTTCATCATGGTAGAATCAAAGTCATCCTAATAAAATTCTATGTTGCTCCATAAAATTGTCCTCTTTTCCTTTTTTAAACATGTGTAAGAAAGTTGCGTAACTCAGAATATCCAAGGTTCTACCATTCTGCCTTAAGAAACTTTCAACAACGTTTGGAATTTGCATCCCCATTTCTTAAAAAAAAAACAATGCCATAAGGTTTTTAGATATTAAGGACACAGATCTTTATTTATTAATTCTTCCTTCTTTCTAGCCCTGAAAAGTTAATAGTATGAAAGTGCCCCTTTAATTAGTCATAAAATATGAAAAGCAGCTAAGTAGCTTTGGCACACAGCACGTATTGCTG